GACTGATGGCCGCGACATCGGATGGGGCGAGATGGTCGCAGTGGAGTTCGGTCTGAAGTTAGCCATCGCGAACGGAGTCGCAGACACCCGCCTGGTTATGAAGTCGGACAACCAGGGAGTGATCGGTGCCCTTGACGCAGGGAAGTCGAGGAACACGGAACAAAACCGAGTCCTCCAGAGGGTTGTCACCCTCATGCGGTCGGCCAACATATGGCTGGTCTCTCAATACGTCCCGTCTGCGCAGAACAAGGCGGACGAACCATCGCGGGGCATAGCTCCGTCGGGCATGTCGCGTTCGGCTGATTTGTTCAAAATACCTTACTGCATCTCTAATTTCCTGGCTAGAGCTTCCATATGTACATAGCATACGATTACAATACTCTCCCCTCCAGAGATAATGAGAGATGGAGAGTCAGAACGAGAACGAAGGAATGGGGCAACTCAACCCAGCGCCGCGGCTAGGACGCCTCTGATGCGCACACCACCACCACCCCCTTCGTTCGTCTACACCGGGCGGCGAAACACCCGCCCTTCCTCCCAAGAGTCGTCAGCAATTGATCACTTCCTGTTACCTCGCACGAAGACTCGGTCAGCCAAGCTCCACAACCCGAACAAGATCAGCTTGTCTAGGGCAGCGGAGGATCATCTGGCTAAGGCCCTTCACCACGGGTGGGCCCCCTCCACGCTGAAGGGTTACAACGGCGCTGTCAGCCGCTTTATTAGATTTTGCAAGAAGGAGAAGATACACCCGCGTTTCTGGCTACCTGCGGACGAGCTGGTCTTATGCGCCTTTGCGGCCTCAAGCGAGGGCCGACACGCGGGGAACACTGCCAGGAACGCTCTCGCCGGACTCAAAGCGTGGCATGCAGCCCAGAATGCGGAATGGAGAGGCGGCAAGCGGCTCAAATACGTCCTCAACGGGGTGGAGAACCGTCGACCGGCCGTCTCCCGTCGACCGCCCCGCCTCCCGATCAATCGCAACATGATTCGCATCCTGAGGTCGGAGCTCGATCTATCGGAACCGGTAGACATCGCTGTGTTTGCAGCCGCCTGCGTAGCCTTTTGGGGCCAATGCCGCCTGGGGGAGCTCCTCCCTTCCGCGACGACACGGGCAGCAGTACAGAGGTCCCCGCGTCGCATGAACCTCACTCTCCCTTCTCCATCTTCGACATCCCACGTCATTCACCTCCCCTCGACGAAGACCCACTATAGCCAAGGCGAAGACGTGGTCATCCTCTGTCAGCGGGGCTCCTCCGACCCTATCCGGGCCCTCCGTCATCATCTCTATTGGAACGGCCCAGGCAAGACCGATCACCTTTTTGCGTATCGAACGCCATTCGGCACTCGCCCACTCACGCGCCGCTTCTTCATGGCGAAATGCAACTCGATCTGGACGCAGGCCGGCTTACCCAGGTTCACCGGCCACTCGTTCCGGATAGGCGGAACCACCGAACTGCTCCTGGCGGGCGTTCCCCCGGACATCGTCAAGAAGGCCGGAAGATGGTCTTCAGACTCCTTCCTACGCTATTGGAGAACCGTCGAAGGCGTCCTGCCAGCTCACATGCAGCGTCTCCAGCCAGGCAACCCTCAACGCTCGTTCCGAACTACGAGACCGCGGGGTGGGGGTCAGCCGGGCGCGCGCACCCCGTCTGGGGGGCGGTCTGGGCGAGCCGTCGCGCTCGCACCCGGCCTACGCCCAAGCTAACGCTTCCCCCTCACCTCTCGGAGGCTCCCTCTACACATCTCCAACCCCGTAGGGCTGAAGGACCGCAGCCCGCCCAAGAGTGGGCGCACCGGAGCGGAGGTCACGTGCGGCGGTGCCAGTTCTTGGGAGGCGGAGGTCACCTTCGCTGGCCGCCTGCTTCCGCACTCGAGGTCGTCGAGGGCGCGACACCCTCGCATTCTTTTGTCCCACCCTCCGCACCCTGGGTATGCAAGCTCGGTCCTCAGGACCCTTTACCCCTTTTGCGTCATGAATAGATAGACTATGTTTCGAGTAGGTACATGAGACCGATGGTGATGTTACATCGAGAGAGCCGGCCGAGTAGGCCGGGTGGGCGAGCCGTCGCGCTCGCACCCGGCCTACGCCCAAGCTAACGCTTCCCCCTCACCTCTCGGAGGCTCCCTCTACACATCTCCAACCCCGTAGGGCTGAAGGACCGCAGCCCGCCCAAGACGTTCCAAGTCTAATCAAAGCGTCGTGAGTGAACCTGACGCGCGACCATGATACGGTCGTCTACAGGGATAACCGCCTTCTGTGCGTGTTCGCGGACCAGCTCGGTACTCATGGCGATGTCGAACCCGTCCCCGATGTGTGGTCGGTGTTGCAGTACTTGCTCACCACACTCGTGCACCTTGCGTCATGAGCCTGGCATCGGAAAGCGACTCGAACCCAGAATAGGCCAACTCCTCGGACCTTAAAGAACGGCAAAGAGGACGGAAGCTGAGCGCTGAACCGTACCTTTCCAATGTTGCGCTGCCTTTTTCACTCGCAAGTAGGTCTGCATGTGATACGAGTTTCGCATCTTCGTTCATGATCAGAAGCCGATACATGCGCTTCATTTTATTTCGTCATCAGATTAGATTTAGATGAGAGATGCAGTCATGCAGTCGTGCACGAAAACTCATCGAGTCAACGAAGAGCGAGAGAGCCGTGTGGACAATGGTTCGGCGAAAAAGAAGAACGAGGGCATGGGGTTGTTCGTGAGTAGCGATAACTGCGTGAATCAACGAGGCAATGTCTGAGTGAGCGATTTCATCCATTCGAGGACATCGTACACACAACGTGGGGAGAACGATGAAGCTTTGAGCTCGTGTACGCCGTCGCTGAACGTCTTCGGAGCGGTTCAGCCTCGGAGTCCGTGGGAGCATAAGTACGCGGTGCAGTCCTGATTGCCGCCGAGTGTCGTCCAGGTGGCAGACAGTGCCGCCGCGAAAACATACATAACATGATGACGGCACACATATATCCGTCCCGTTGCTACCACCCGTAAGCGCCGATAACGATATTTGTAGTAGCGGAAACATTATGTGTTGCCTCCTCAACGTATGCCTGCGCGAGTCCTGGAGTGATAAGGCGCACGACTAACTTGCGATAAGACCTACAAGGTCACCCGGGCCCAACCTCGTACGTATCGTGTTGAACTTGGCGTGGAAGCAGTGAAATGATGCTATGAAAAGCCTATCGAACCCTGTAGGACGCGTAGGAGGTCTACAAAGGTGGCTGCCTGGCAGTACGAAGTACATGCGGCTCTAACGGTATGATCCTGGACGGCCAAGGTAATCGTCCGAGAACAAGGTATCTCCAGGAGCGTATTCGGCGGAGACGTCAGAGGTGATTAACTGTCAAAGTGCGGCTAGTGTCGTCTTACTGGACCGCCTATATCTTCCCGTCTTCACCAGCTTTGACGTGCGGCTCACAAGAACCAGTCGTTGACAGAGAAGGTAACGTAGCCATTATGCTGTTCCACTGGTCGGCCGGTCCAAGTTGCGGCGGGCAATGATGTGGTCGTGTGACGGGAATGGAGGTATGATGGCGGTGGATTGCTGCCCAAGTCGTACAATCACGAATGCACGTGCTAGACGACAAGTCGAACGTCGTCCCCATCCCGAACGTGGCGAAGCCGATCGACATCGAACTGTCCGTTTAAACAGAGCTCCCGGGAGTATAGAATACCGCGGATCCACGCCGATATGATAGTGGGGGATTGGACGACGTCGCCGATAGCCAGTACACACGTAGAAGTCATAAGTAATTGAAGCCGTCTCGTTGAGCGAGTAGCGCGATCGGTTTCGGAGTGCTTTGCTCAGTTTCCAGACGAAAGCGAAGCATTCGGTGCGTTAGAAACATTGTAAGCTTCGCCCGACAAGTGAGAAACGATGTGGCATCCTAACGCCCTCGTTAGTGCATGACCACAATGCAACCGAAACTACAGAATGTTAGGTCAGCTTGGCTCCAGCAAATACGAGCATATTGACGGTCTTCCTGGCGCCACGTTCATCGCTCCAGCCGTCGCAAGCCGTGGGGGGTGAACGAGATGCCGGCGGGGCTGGATGACCCGTTCACCACGTGGCGCAGCAGCGCCCTGGAGGACCACTTGGAGCTCGGGGATTACCGCAACTGGACCGCCGGCTCCGGCTCAGCTCGAGGGTTTGATCGCGCTGATCAGTTGGCGCACTGACGCGTCGGGGCCCACGTGGCGGCGTTCTCAAGTGATATTGCGGGCGGAATTCACTGCTGGGGATTCCCCTTGTTGACATGATCTGCCTTTAGGCGGGTGATGTTGGGCGGAAAATGGTGATGGGCGGCTCGTGGGTAAGCTGTACCTGGATCCTCCTGTCGCGAAGGCGGGCTGGGTGTATGTATCGCGAGACATTCGCGGGTCGAAGAAGCTGGGAAATCACAGGTCACTCCTGCGGGCACACTTTACTTACTGGAATGTCGCTGAATGCAAGGTGCAGGTAATGTATCTGACTTCAGTTGCGCCCCACTGAGGTTAGGATGGCGGGTGAACCAGAATATGTCGATATTGTGAGACGTACGTGGAAGAGAAGACGAAACGACAACGGAACTAAGGGGTGTTCGTGATGTCGCCGAGAGTTCTACGCTGACTTTCCACCGTCCGGACACCTGCGCAACTGGCGCTGATCGCGACGGATAGCATCTCGCGCCAGCAGAGATGTATCCGTTGAGGATAGGGCTCAACCTACATGGTTTGCGTTTGCGCTAGAATTACTTAGCATGAACATTGTGACTGCACGAAGCCTGAGCTTATAGAGCATGTGAATGACGGGTCTCAGACGTCGTCGAGGCGCATGGTATCATTATTTCCTGCTAAGTACATATGCTGGGAACCGGCGACACAAAACGCACAGTATATTCAAAGACGGTGAAAACTCGAGCGGTATAATTGGGAAGACGTCGACTCGGAGCCAAGATGACCAGGGAGGAGTCAGCGGATGATCTCTCCCGGAATAGGCAAACAGTTATTTTGGTAGGGAGAGGTGGCACTATGCTGATACGGCGCCCAGGAGTGCGGCGGCGGATCGGTGGACTTGAACGCCACTGAGATGACAACGCCGGGGCGAGTTGACTGCTAGGGTACGGTCGCGGCAGCAGCACACGCTAGTCCTAGACAGCCAACGATCGAGACGCGGAGACGCGGGACCAAGCGCTTCGAAGGCAGAGTATGATGGTGTACGTGCAAATAGCTACGCGCCGGCCCCGGCCAGGACAGGACCAGAGCATGTAGTCCTTGGTGACCGGACACAAAGAGGTCGCCGAGTCGCCGAAAGGCGATTGCAACCGTGTGGCAACTTCCCCGCGTAGATCAAATGCCGCGCCAAATCGTCCAAACTTTTGGACAGACGAAACGGCGGGAGCGAAGGGTTGGTTGACACAAACGCGAAGTATACGGCCTCAGAGGAGGGCGCGCCGAAGATTCGCCGCAACCCGGGTACGAAGACGACAGTTTAAGCCTGATGAAGCGCGTTGAGATCGCAGATATGCAGAAGATGTCGATTAGGAGCGATGAAAGCACCGGATGCCATGAAAAACCGTGGCCAAGTCTTTCCAAGTCAAGGGTGATATACGCGTCATGCAGTCCTTCCTCTGTCCTCCGGGTAGCCGATACCATGAACCAGCTCGATCGCCGTCACAAAGAGACATTCATTACGACATACGTGGCGAGTCGGCTAGAGAGATACCCGCTATCCGGTATATTGTGTGTAGGCAGATCGACAGATAGACGCATTTTGCGGTGCAGCATCTGCTCGCCGCGATGCGCACGACATGTTCCGGCACTTTCGCGAGACCGCCGTCACGGATTGAGGGTTCGAGCATCGCCCGGAGGGACATTCATTGCGAGATGTGGGTGAGATTAAGGAACGTCAAGGCAAGAATAGGCCGCAAACGAGGGAGAGAGGTGGGTCGGCCCCCGTTCGTGTCGTCGTATATCGTATGGAGGTCGTCAATGGCCGAGCATGAGCTGGTGGACGGCTAACGAGATACCCGTTACCCGGTATGCTAAGCTTAGCAGGGCAATGAACGCGCACCCTTCCTCCGCCCAGGCCGGAGGCCACATCTTCCGGATCAGTTTCCAAGTCTGTACGTCGACGTCGAAGATCTGGACACAAGAACCTCGTATATACGGAGGAAGATCCGGGGCAGTCGTACAGTAAGCAGCGAGCGCATGGGCACCGCACCTACGCCCGCACCGGTCGGAGGCCGACGCGCGCGAGGAGCGCCGTTGACCATACGAAGGACAAGGAAGCAGAGCAGGAGGCGCCGAGGAGGTGAGAGGCAAGTGCCAGGTTTGTGCGAGCGCCGAGGGGCATCGTCAAGGCCCGGAGCCAAAAGCGGTGCAGCAAGGTTCGCGGGAGCCGCCGGCGAGGCTGTTGCTGTATTGGTGGAGTGCTGGCCGTAGACGGACCATCGGTCGTTTGACACGTCCGCTGGGGGAGGAGGGTCTGGAGAAGGGCCCAGAATACGTACGCTGGCGGCGTATGTCGAGGAAGACGGAGGGGGGCGATTCGCGGCTTGGCGTAAGCAACATCTGGATGCGCCACATCCACGTAAACATCGATTCCCTCTTTCGTACGACGGGCAGTCCCAGCGTTAGCCTTTTGCCGTCCACGAACGGATTGGGTTGATTCAGCGCCAATTCGTGGTGGTCGTCGAGGACAGGTTTCCAAGGACGATCGTTGGGCTGCGGTCGTAGCACGTGTCTGCTCGAGCTGAGGTCGAGGTCTAACGACAGAATGATGGGGTGATCGGACATGAACTGGTTCAATCGGGGGGACGAAATGCAGGCCGATCCGCCCCCCTCGACGGGGCATCTCTGCCCCTTGCCCAGTGCCGCCCGCCTTCATCCACGAATTGGAAGAGAAGGATTTGGGCTTAGGGCGGATACCCATGTTCGTTCGCACTGGGTGATTCGGGCGTAGGATACAGGTCGCCACGTGTAGGCGTGCATCACTTCGACGGTGGGTGCGCAGACGTTGCGTGGTACGGGCGCAATAGCGCGAAGCCAGGGCGCGAGGCGGTCAACCACCTCGCGGCGCCTCACGAAGGTCTGGGTAGCGACACGCTGCCTACCGGAGGTAATCTTACGGCAGGGCGCGCGCAGGCTTGGTCAGAGTCTTTGTCTCGTTCGGTGTTCTTCATGTGCGGGCCCGGTGAGGCGCTGTTGGTTGCATGCGTACGCCTCCAGTCACAGCCTGCGGGCTAGCGGGAGTGAATGCTGAGCTGCTGCTGAATAAGCGGGAAGCCGAGCTGTTTACCGGTCCGATCGTTGGTGGGGTAAGCCAGCTTGCGCGTGGCGCGGTGGAAGTCGCAGCTGGACCAATCAGAACGGTTCGGACCGGAGAGCGTTATATGTATAGCCGGCCCCAAGTCAGTCAGGGCCCATCGAACTCCCACCGACCAACGACTCTCAGCTTCCCCCTATTACCATATAATACGGCGCTCGTCTCACCCGCCGACGTTTACTCTACTTGCTCGTCCTCCGCCACGGCGACCAGCCACCTTTCCTCACCGTCTCTCGCGACGACGCCCACCATCAGTACCAGCGACTTCTACCCAACTTTTGGTACAGCCACTCCGACCATGGCGGCGACGACATCCCAACCCATCTCTCTCCCGACTCACGCCCAAGATCAGAATGTTCAGGACGTCGCTATGTCCTCGGTAATGTCCTCGAGCGGGTCGTTCAACCCGGCGTCCTACACCCGCCACTTTCTGGACTCGCCCCTGTCGTGGCGCGACTCGTCGTTCGGGACCCGTTACTACACTGGCGTCTCGCCGATGCCTGGTTCCCTAGAGTGAGTTTTCGTGCATTCGTACATTGAATGGACACCGTCATGGTCTATCTTTGGCCCTCTCTTTACTGCTCCGAGACGCATCGATTGCTAATGCGCGCCACACATAGAACGAAGTTGATGAGCACTTCAGTCGAGAGCGACCGCGGGTCGCTTGCGAACGCCGTCAAGCTCATGGAGCGGGCCGACGAACACGTAAGTGTCGCTGTTCTGATTGCGCAGTCATCCGTCCATATGCCCCTCCCCCCCGCGTTTCATGTCCCTTCTCGTCGGAACCGCACGCTGACTTTGCCGCTTCGCTCTATTGCTCCTCCGCTATCTTCCCCTCCGGCCCCTATCCTCTTATGGACGACCATTCACGCAACGCCATCACTTGACCGCCGCTCCACGACGCATTTGAATCCTGCGGCTATTACCGGCTCGTCTGGAATGGAATCACCCCTCCATCGTCAACGTGTCCCCGCTTCGATACCGCTTGCCGGAATTGCTCATTTGACCACCGCGGGGCTACTAATAGTGCCGGAATTTTACATGTTGCGGCCTCAACCTGACCGACCTCCACGCCCTCGTCGATCACTTCGAAGAATCGCACGTCGTCATCGTCGACCCTCACACCCAGCAAACGCAACTCATGCAGCCCCCTACGTGGACACCGGCGCAATACGCGGCGTACGCCCAAGCACAGCAACAGCTCGCTCAGCAGCAGTCGGCTCAACAGTCGATGCAGACTCAGCCAACGTCCCCGACCCACTCGAGTCATGAGGAGTCGCAAGCTCAGAATTACGCTCACACCTCGGAGTACAGCCCGGGACCGTTTGACCCGGATGACATGGAGTTCGACGAGTCACCCGCATCATCCAACCCGTCTCCAATGTCGTCCGGAGCCTCGACGCCTCCAGACACACCTCTTACCACCCCTCTCTCCGCTTATCCCTCGCCGCAGCTCTCGTCTTCTCCCGTCTCGGCATTCGACACAACCGTCCTCCTCCGGGGTCGGAGCGCGGTCCCCTACGGCCAACAAGGGAGCGACTACAGCCCGCTGCCCTCCACCGGCGCGCGCTCCTCCTCCCTCGCGGGCTCCGGCATGGAAGAAGCTTTTTCCGCCTTCCGGGGATACTCGGACTACTCCTCGGCGATGCCCGGCGCCGTTTCCACGCCCATCGCGGAGCACCCGTCACCCGCCCGCCCGGCGCAGGCGACCAGCGCGGGCGCGAGCCGCGAGGGAAGCCCGTACGCCGTCAGCCCCGCGCTCGTGTTCAGCAGCACCGAGAACACGCCCGCCGGCACGCCCGCCGCCTCGCGCGTCGCCAGCCCCGCGCCGAACAACTCCTACTTCCCCGCTAGCGCTTCCGGAGGCGTCGCGTCGTCGTCGAAGCCGTCGTCGTCGTCGACCGCGTCGGGCTCGGCAGGCCGCGCGTCGACGTCCAAGGCTGCCGCGTCGACGACGCTCTCACGCCCCGCGTCGTCGCTCTTGCTGTCCAAGCCCTTCCGCTGCCCCAAGCCGAACTGCAACAAGTCGTACAAGCAGGCGAACGGGCTGAAGTATCATATGACCCACGGCTCGTGCAACTTCGCGCCGCCCAAGGACCTCGAGCAGGTGCAGGCCCTTCTCGCGTCCAAGCTTGCTCAAAAGGGCATCAGCATCAACGGAGAGGGTGTCAGCGTCGATGGAGAAGGTGGACTGACGTTGAACGGAACCGGTCTCGAGAATTGCGGGATCAACATCACGGAGCAGGAGATGCGCGAAGTCGAGAGGGAGGCCGAGAGGCGGTTACGTCCCTTTGCCTGCGGCATCGGCGACTGCCAGCGACGGTACAAGAATATGAACGGTCTCCGTAAGTTCGGTCTTCAGCGTTTCTTTCAATGCATAGGTGACTGAATATATGCATATAGGGTATCACTACCAGCACTCGGGTGACCACGGCGCCATCGGTCTGACGCTCCTCGCATCCGGCCAGCACGAGTCGCTTAGGAATCACGCCGGCCACGGCAGGTCGTCGTCGTCCAATACCCGCCACTCGACTCCGTCGACGCCCACCACTGGTGTTCCGCCCCGGGTCCGCCCTACGCCGTCGCAACCTGCCTCCCGGCCTAACTCCCAGCCGCACTCTCCCGTCGCCGCGTCCGCGCAGGCGACCCACCAACAGCAACAAAACGCGTCCAACAGCCAGGCGATGCAGAGCGCGCTCGCGCAGTTCCAGCAGTTCGCGGCGCAAAATCCGGTCGCTTTCCAGCAGCGGTTCGGCGCGCTCGCGGCGCAGGCTCAGGCGCAGAATTCGGCCACTCGGGACGCGAACGCGGCGAGCGGATACATGCCGTGGACGCAGTCGCAGAGGCAGTGAGCGCTGATCACAGCGTCCGTTCCTCTTGGCTCGTCTCCCTTTTCCCTGCTCGTCTCGTTGTTCCGGTTTGCATCGATGCTCGGTTTATCTTGCTCGTCTGCTCTTGGCCCTTCTTCCCCCGCTCATTCATCTTAAAACTCGACAACGTGCTTCGCGTTCATTATCTCGACTGATGCAGGCACGATAACGCATGGATCATCTCGTGCGGGGGCGTTAACGCGTTCCTCTCTGCTCGAGAGATGGACTTGTTTGGTGGAGCGTGCCCTCGCTGATTTGCCTCGTGCCCTTCCAAGATGCACGCGATAATCTTGCGATCGGCGGTGGCGCGGCTCCTATCCGGTTGGTGGGATCCAATAGTCCAGATGAAGAGAAGCTGTTGGCGGAACTCGACCCCCCTTGCTCGAGGATAGACCTGCCGTGCGATGTCTATGACGACGAGTCGCCGCCGACAAGCCAATCAGATCTCATCTCATCTTCATCGTGCTCTTGCTCCCTCCGCGGATCGGCTCTAGTCCCCCTTATACCGTCGTGTCCATCGTCTCCCATTTCCCTGCGCCTCCTTCGCCTCCCACTGATGTCCCGCGACGCCACCATCGTCGACGTCCAAAAAGTACACTCACCACGAGCCCTTATACATAATCGCCTGTCTTCGTCTCCCCTGCCGCACGGAATTCTATCACGAGTCACGACGTCCGACCGTGACGACTAATTCGTCTTGTGCCCATTTGTCGTCGTGTTTACCTATCGCTTGTGCCCCGGTGTTCCATATTCCTGCTTGTGCCTTTTACCACCATATGCATATGCATTCCCCTTTCGCACCGATAATACCGTGGTCACGCTCCCATGATCATATCCGCCGGAATCCTCGACTTCCCCTGCTCAGATCGTTCAAGAGCACGGCTTCACGGCCCTAGGTACCGGCGATATGACCCATGACGCCGCGCATCGCATTCCCCATTAACTCCCGGCTTCGACTTCGGCTTCTTCATTATACGTCCGCGTCTCAAGTTCCGTGTTTTCCCTCGCTCTACGTCTGTTGTCCATCCCTATCCATCCATCGCGCCCGTCCAGACGGTTCCAATGGTCGCGCACCCTCCCAGCTCTATCTTAACTCCCCTTACCCTCACCCATATAATCTCCGTCTATTCTTCCCTCGTCTTCTCTCTACTTCCAGGTCCGGGCATTCGTTGTTCGTAGAAGTCCTACTACACGTCAGTAGACAAGGCAGTAGATAGTCTCTTCCCAAAAGCCGAGTTTCCTGTACGTTACTATTAGAGGGTCGTGCAGGGTGGCACTGCCGTGTATTGCGACACGATACATGAATGGAATAAAAGAGATCTGTTTATCGTGCATTCGCAGTCGGGCCGTCTCTGCTCGTGCGGATGAGAAGGTCGTCCTGGATGGATATCATCCTCGGATATGAGAACAGGCCGCAGTAAGCCCGCCGAGGCGCTCATGAAGACCAACTCTTCGCCCACGCCGTCGCTGTCTCTGCGAACCCGTTCCTATTCTTGCTCCAGTTGATGATGCCCTCGCCTTCGACGCTGAGCCTGCGCAGCGTGGATCAAACGCGATGTTGGAAAGAAAGAAACGAAGCTGAGCCGACTCACATCCACATCGTGCCCACGGTGGACAGGCTGTAGATCTCGATATCCGACCCTTCGTCGACGTTCGCGATGTGCGATTGGCACGACTTGTCGGCGATGCACGCCTGGGTGTAGTTCTTTGATGGAAAATTGCAAGCACCCGGTCAATGGCTGGTTGTTAGCGAGGTAACGGTGTTTCGAAGACGCACAGAAAAGAAGCTATACAGTCCCGCGCCTTTTCAACGATGTCTGTAAGCGTATATACGAAGAGGCAGAAGGATGGGTAATGCGGCCTACCGAAGACGATGATTCCCGACGACTTGCGCACCCAAAGCCCCCACGCTGCTTGATGTGTAAACGAATTAGCGGGCGGGTCGTGGTATTCAGCGTGCAAGGAGCATGGCGCAGGAGGTGCAGGAAGTGGCTGGTAGTATGGCTGCAGGACAATGCATCTACTCAGTGTATGTCAAGCGAGAGGGGACGCGCGAGGCTCACTGTCTCCGTCTGAATGAGGCCCATGTAGTGGTCCTTGGCGCCCACTAAGCTGTACTGGTATAGAACGTGGTGTTCTGCTGCAGGCTGTCAGACACGGGAACTCTTTACATGTTCTCCTATCAACTTACATCCTGTGCAATGCAATCATATCAGGAACTGGAACAAAGCAGGGTGAATAGCTTCGCACCTGTTCCAATCATCCAGACGGGTCCCTGCGACTCTGAAAGGATTCCTCGTCCGCTGAACAAAGTGATTTGGGTTGAGCCTTCGCCATAGTCCAAGTCATGGTCCGCAAGCCAGACCCAAGTTCCCTATACAGACCGTTGTGAACATCGCCAGTGGCGGATGTGATTACGACCGTACCTCCAAATAAGCCGTCGAGTCTCTGGTAAGGTGAAGTCCAAGGAAGGCAGCGTATACGTTAGCATCCGCTTTGTCGGACGAACATTGCGCCGCTTCCTGTAAGGTACCGACAGCTGCAGCATCCTCATTGTTTGAAACAAGTTGCGCATGGAAAACAGGGAAGCGTACCTCCACCAAGCCTGGATTCTGCGACGTGAGCGGAGATATTAACGATCACAGAAAGATCCTCGCCTTATATGCGTATCCCACATTCCGCCGCGGCTCGTAGTTGCATCGTGAACATTCCATTCAACGATGATGGCACCTGGGGCTTAAATAGAGTCAATATGGGTGATCGTGCATACCATGGCCAACGGCTCACTTGACCCTCGCGTAGCAAATATGACGTCTGTGATCTCAACAAGACCAGTATCGCCCATTTGGCCGACCTTAACGACAACCCTTGGATGTGATTCTCGTTCGAAGTTCGGTCCAACTCCCATAATCACAGACCACGCTTCGCCGACGATGCGAGCATTGGGCTATGGTATGTCACGAGTTTGGCTTGGCACCTGAAACGCAAACGAACTCACGGGAATGAAAATCGTCGAAGATACAACATATACGCCATGGTCGAAGAAAACGATTTTGGTCGCGGCAAACTGGATGCCTCGCTTTACCTTAACAATACTCGTAAATGTCGAAGTGCGACTGACCTGATTTAGGATTTTTTGTATAGCGGCAGTGTCGTCGGTCTGCCCGTCGCCGCGTGCGCCTTCAGCTTTGACGCTGATGAAGTCGTCCACGCCGTGGCCTTCGTATTGGGGGTGTCCTTTTCCGTATATTTGGCCTTTGTCGTTGAGCAGCGCTCTAGGTTTCGGCCGGGAAGACAATGGGCCCTGCGTGAACGCTGGTGAAGCTTGACTACCGGTGTATACATTTCCTTGGGCCCAGCTGTCGATGATTTTAGTCTTCTCTGTTCCAGGCAAAAGGTCGGGTCCGCCCGAAACATGCACTGCTACAGGCACGCGCGTGAGGGTGATGTTGCTCAGGACAACTGAGCCAGCCAAGCTCTCGTGACTCCCTTGCGATGTGCGTAAGAACATTCTGGTATCTGTTGCCGAGGCGTCAATGACGGCCAGAGCTGCGGAAGTCTAGAACAAGTACTGAGAATGAGAATAAATATAACAAAGCATCAAGAAACTCGCTTGGTTTTCCGGTGTCGTTCCTCCTGTATTGAGGTCGAATCCAACCTTTGTCGCGGTCACTCGGGGAACGCTCCCGGGAGGAAACATGGGAACGGACCTGACAATTATTGATTTTGACATTCTGAAATGTCCAACCTTCGGGGGTTCAATCCCCATCCATGGGAGGTCTTCAGCACTCACCCCAGTTCCAATGCAAGTATATCGCTATATGAGGATGTTGATCAGTTGACTTCATCAGATTGATATTCGTTCCTTACCTGATTCCGCGTTGTTCACGGTTATGTTGCGTACAGTAAACCTGAGCCGATCAGCTTCATGACGGAGTGTAGCATTATCACGCGGATGGCTCACTGTTGATTTCCTAGCCATACGCCGTATTTACCTGAATCACGGTCATCGCAGTCCCAGAGCGGCTGATCCATGCTGCGCACCACCGTTGAAGACCAAATCTTCGGCGGAATACCATTCAGAATCAGAAACGGGATGTATTGGTGCAGCCTACCGCCCATGAAACCTCCGGAGCCATTCTCCATGAATATCTGCAATATTCAGAATGTGAATTGTCGTCGAATATCACACGAGATCGGCTCAGTACCCCTTGATGATTGTTTCCAGGCTCAGTTGACATGTTCACAGTGATGTTGATCAGGGATGTAGCTTAAGTCGGGCATCAGCTGTTGCAGCTCTATATCGGTGGTACATAGACATCATTCACCTTGAGAGACTTGCCAGTGCAGGCCGGTGGCAGTGGTGCGGGCATGCATCCTTTTGAGATCAATCACGAGATTCCTCACAGAACGGAAACTCGATCGGTTGTATGAGCAAGCTATACATGCTCTTCTAGGTGGGGAAGCTCACAAATTGTTCTGATTTTGATACCAGTTGGCGCCACCTGTCATGATAGCAGTCAGCCGCTGATCCCAGGGGAAGACGTGCACTATTGTGATCTGCACCTTCCATGTACGGATCCGCATCGATCACTGCTATCCCCGCGAAGTTGGAACTGGCCATGATGGTAGGTGGAAGACGGGCTGTCATTACTGTGAGTAGGACTTTCTGTGCCCCTCCAAGGTAGGACTACGTACCATCTCCAATGATTTGCGTGTAATAGTACGCGATGATCGGAGCCGATACAAGATATACGCTGGTGAATAGTGATATGCGTAGATCCCTGAATATTAAACAGTTATATTACCCTTTTGGAAAGTAGACGACCGCTGGAGATATGCTACAGGGGACCTCAGTATCCGATGGGATGATGTTTTCGTTAAGAGAGAATATACACACGTAGAAGACCCGCAGCGACCACCGCCGCACCGGCCGCCGGACGATATTGCGGAACTAGTGGAATGAGTGCACGCGATGAGCCTATTGTCATCGCAATTAGAGAGAGTCACACTGAACTTGATCGCACTGGTGTCGTCTGTTAGGCCGTCTCCCTTCGCTCCGAAGTCTTTCACGTTTCGAAAGACCTGGTATTGATTGGAATCGGCGTGAAAAGGCGCTTTGCCCCGGTGCGGGATACTTTCCATCCAAAATGGACTCATCTTGAAGATGCGTTCCAGACGTGTGTCTAGATGGCCGTTTTTCAATGGACTCGGTTGACAATGCAGCTTGGGAGGCGATTCTCAGTCGGCTACGTCGCGTCGACCGGAAAGACGTCAGTGATTACCTAAGCTCGTCAAGTCTGACTTCAAGTTCGTATCTGGCCTGCATTTTTTCACCCCTGACGGAATGGTTCATTCTCTGTATCATTCCAAACGCACCAAGCTATCCTATACCTAACTCGCCGGTCCGTGACTGCGTGAAAACGATTGGGCGATCCTGGAGGGTGATATTGCTGACAACAAGCCATTAAGTACTCAGATTATATAGAAGAAACCGAACAAGGATATTTAGAGATCTACTTAATACCGGTAAGGTCAACTCGCGTCTAGGAGACGCGTCACCTCGTCGCGTTGACTCTGGTCGCGTTCGACGTGACTAATGGTCGTGAGAGAATGCACATGACCGCGACCGTTATTTCAAGGCCGTGCCACGAGCGAGACACTCATCGCGACGTCGACCAACGCCATGAGCGTCCTCCTTACCCCGCCTGCGACGAGTCACCGCAATGTCAAGGAGAACCTCAGGCCGGCGGGCTCTCGCGTGGTGTGGTGCTCGCAAAACCAGTACCACAACCTTGCCCTGTCGCCCTCTAAGCCACTATCCTACAACCCTAAAACCATACCAACACGCTCTATCCTGAAGAAAACACAAGCAGTCTTGCCATTTGAGGGGGAAAGCCAACGCGAGGTTACACCGGAACCGTCGAGTCCGCTCGACGACGCGCAATATCTGGCCCGACCCGTCGACGCGATCCTCCAATTAGACACGTCCCTTCAGGAGCTCATCGAATCTTATTCCGTCCTTGCGGCACGACTGCGATCCACAATTGCAACAGCAAGCGATACCGACAGGCACTGCCCGCTATTACAGCCTATAGCTCGCGCCACGGATGCGTTCGTCGACGCGTTGTCAAGGGATCTTGGACGCGCCTTGGTAGACCCCGCGCCTCCTGCGGAAGACAAGGGCGCGCCCCCGTCGCCGAAACCCTCGCCGAACGGCAAACGCGTCGGTATGTCTGCTGAGCAAGTCAAATACGCGCGGGATCTATGCACGACAACGCACGCGGTCATCAAGCTTCTGGCCGTTGTCCTTACAATACCAACGTTATACGAGCTTTTCAACGGTACGCATATACCGCGCATATACCCATCGATAATTGACTTAGACGTCTTGTAGATGCTCAACTGCAACAAATTCTCACTTCTATCTTGGCGATACCCCTTGCTCCTTACCTCCCGACCCCGAACGCCCGCAAAACCCACGCACTTGTCATCTGGCTTCTACAGACGCAGAGGCTTCCCGCTCATAACCTGAAACCTGCTGCGGATCGTATAGCGTACGCTCTTCGTCGCGGAATCGAGGGCGAGCTGGGCAGGGAAGGCAAGAAAGGCTCTGCTAGTGATGGCCTCAAGGTACATTCCAGTGTCATCGTTACTGCAGCCCGTACTCATACCATGTTGCGCTCAGGCCATTCACGACCTTTCCCTGCATGCGCCGGACGTGTTCGTCCCGGCGTTTGCCGTTCTTCTCCCCTTCATGTTGAACAACTTGCTGGCTTCAACGTTGGCCATGCGCTCCCAAGCTACGCTTGCCCTCGGGGGTTTCGCGAAAGCTTACGCGTCTATTTCTCCATCTTATGCATTGCAAGAAAGTCTCGCGTCCCACGTCGTCGAGATCCTGTTCCGTCCGTCGCCAGCCAAGTCTCCATCGAAATTCTCCTCGGCCGCGACGTCCCCTACGAAGGAGTCGCAGCTCGTGCGGACTTTCCGAACTACTCTCCAGACGCCGGACCCTTCCCATGCCGCCCAGGGCCCCGTCTGGGCGTTATGTAGCCTCTCATCGCTCATCGTCCTGCTAGGAGCGAGGGCGAGTCGGGACGAGCGCATCGGGCGTTTGATCAAGGCGCTTCTTAACGTCGCCATGCGACACGGGCGCAGCAGCATCCGTGCTCTCGCTTGCGTCGCATGGAGGGTCATATCCTGGTCGTGGTTTGTTGAGAGACCTCAGAAGCCCGAGAAGACGGACGAGGATATGGATAGCGATGAGGAGGAGGATGAAGACGAGGAGCAAGCTGCATTGAAGGCGGAAGGCGAGCGGAAGGCGCGTGATGCGTGGTGGGTGCTCATGCGGAGCATCGTCGATATGGGTGCAGGTGCATCGGTCGTGGTCTCGTTGTCGAACCAACACTTCGTCGCTGGGATAGATGACGAATGGACCGGAGTGTACGGATCGAAGGAGCATATCCGGACGGAAAACCTCGCCAAGGCACTAGACGTCGTGAACGCAATGGCGTCCAAGGGCGGACAGACGACCGGTCAAGCCATCGACCTCCTGGGCCAGTTCGTGTCACCATACGCTGTCGCTAATAACGCCGAATCGTCAGTGCCCAAGGAGGGTTACAAGACTTGGGCGGTGCACAAGCTCCTCCCACCGTCCCTCTTTAGCTCATGCCCCGGGCTGCTCACCGTCGAATGGCGCAGCCTGGTCACGGTGGTCCGAAATGTGTTGGACGAGTGCCCCTCGATTGAGGATGCCCGCCCACTTCGCAAGGACGAGTTGAGCAGACACATCGTGTTCGACTCGATCATAGACTCGTGGAGGGACGCCATCGCTGCTGGCACCGGCGAGGTGGAGTTTAATCCAACCACCGGGCTGCCAGAAGTGGTAACGGTCCGTCGTTCTTCTTATGTCAACCCTCTCTTGTGTTAACAAGCGCGGCAGGCTGAGGTTCTCGTTGTCTGGGACGGACTCGTCCGGGCTAACCTTGGTCTTTTGGAGGGTAAATTCACGATTATTAGCACGGTTCGCCATGGTCACTAATCATTCTTCTGCAGAGGCTTCCGATGACTATGGGACTAGGGCTCTCGCTCATCGCTGCGTCGACGTGATTGTAGACGTCCTTCAGACGCAACTATTTAACACTACACCTCCGAAGAAGGCCGGAAAGGTACTGCCGTCGACGTCCTCTCAGAGCCCCGCCACGGAGCCCGTGGTTCCTGGTCTTGACCTCGCGCCTCTCTCGGTGAATGCCATGAGGGTGAAACTAGCAAGCGCTATGTGGGCCATCTTGGCCGGAGCTATGCCTGCCGATGCTTGTGTCGGCGCCGGAGAAAAGCTACTGCAATGGTTGGACGCTTACTGGTCCGATTCCCTCCCTGATGCTGAGATCGACTGCGGCGTACTCTGTGCGGACTTGATCGTTATCATGGATGTGGACATCCTGCGCGGCTATTGGCAGCATTGCTCCAAGCGTGGTTGGGATGACCTAAGCGTTCGGAATGCCGTCTGGCGTGGTTTCGTGGAGAAATGGGTTGCGACTAGTCGCTCGTGGACCGACAGTGTCGAGCTGCTTGTCGTCCCATTTGCGTACGTCCTCTCATCTCTGGCACGCCGCCGAGCGCTAACGTACCTATCATCAGATCTCCCGAGACTTGGGAAATGCAGTCGGCAGATATTGATGCCTGGGATCAACTCCTGCGTCATGCCATAGCCAGAGCGGCAGATTATGGGGTTGAGACCGTCGACGTTCTCGAGCATGTCTCCCGTTCCTTATCGACAACCCACTTGCCCACTTCTATGGCCTGCATCCGTATCGCAGACTTGCTCCTTTCGCAGCTGGACATCGATGAAGCCTCAAATATCCCGCTAAACCTCATGGAGTACGTCGACGACGCGCTTCGAGCTGCATACCCACCGGAACCACGGAGCAAGGTTTTTGCTCTGTGGTTGGTGCGGAGCATTGTTGCGGTGGTCGACAAATGCCCGCCTGCAATCGCGCCTCGGATGGTAAAGGCGTTGCAAGAGAGTCTTGCGGTGTGGATCCAGGACGAGTACGAGACCCTCGAGGAGGAAGAATATGTGTTCGACCTCCTCCCTCTCTACCAAACCATCTGCGTGTCAGCCCAAACATCGTCTCCCGATGTCACCGTCCTCGACTCATACTCCATGGTGCTGGAGTCCGCTTTCCTGGGACGGGCATCAAAACAGGCCGCAATGGCTCAGTCCTTCCAACAGTTCTGGCGCGAGAGCTTTGGCCTGCTCGAGGTTTCGTCCAGTGGATGGCCTGCGAGGATTCAAAGCTGCCTCGACGCGCTCAAAGCTGGCCATGCGGTTTCCGAGAAACCTGTAGAACCTCAACTTGTAATATCTCCAGAGAAGGAAGAGACCATGGCCGAGGTGGAAGATGTCGAGAAGCTGCTGTTTCCCGACAGCGACGACGAACTGGACGAGGCCTTCTCCCTCGTCAATCGCCCTGCGTCGCCACTTCGTCCCGCCATTCCTACCATTTCTCGTCCGTCTACCCCACCGTCGACCCCGAGGGCGAGTTCGACCATCTTCTCCACTCCGACACGTCCGAGCAAGAGCTCAAGCTCTTCCGTCCCTTCGAGCTGCCCCTCCACGTCACTATCTCCCAGGTCTCCTGCCAGTCCCTCGCCCTCGAGGCGTCGTCGCCCCTCCGACGTTGCAAACAAGGAAAATCTTGCGCTCATCTCTATGAAGCCGCTCTTTACGTCCGAGTCCGGTGCAGTTCTTGGAAAGCGGCGAGAATTGCAGGAAGGAGCGCACGACGAGGAGGACGTGTTCGGGTCAAAGAAGGTGCGCACGATGGCCCCACCCGCGGAGGTTCCATTCCGAGTAGGACCCCCCTCGCACAAAAGAGCGAGTGCAGGAACAGGGCTCTCGACGAAGCGGAGCTATTCGTTGATCGCGGTTGAGCTTCCGACCTTGAAGGAAGTAAGGAGGCGAACCGTCAGCGATGCTGGTCGTCATAAGAAGAATGCTCCCGTGGCCCTTCGACGACACAGGTCTCTCCAGACGTTGAATGGTCTCAGCGACTCCGCTATCGCCACCGCTGATGACGTCTTGGACATGACACCACGAAAACGGAGGAAGACCATTGAGGAGTTGACGCTCGACGCCACGGCCGTGGATGCCGGGTGCTTGTTCGGAAGTGGTGAGCTTCGCCCATGTTCCACGCGTTCGAGTTGCTTGCTTATCTGTCGCAGACGACTCGATCATGCTCTATTCCGAAAGCGACAGCATCCCGCCATCATCCGATAGCTCCGACGATCAGGCTATGTTACCTCCTCCCATCTCACCTGCCATTCGGCGCCTTCAGATGGATTGTGATCCGTCGAGCGACGACTCAGATCTATCTTCGAGCCCTTCAGCGCAACGAGCAGCTCGGCGTCGAGAACACCATGCAGCAGGCTCCAGCCGAGCCATCCAATCTCTAGTCTTCACGGTATGATCAACAAAGCATCTGTGACACGTATATTCTATGTACCGCACATTCCAACTCGCCCCATCACCATTGTTATGAAGCACCCTCTAGCTTTCATGTCTATACAGAAGTTCACATGTCATCGCACGCCTGGCTATCGTTAGTATTCCTTGTGTTACATACAACGTTTTGCAACTCGTGAGAACAATCGAGCATGGATATGCGCTTATAGGAGACTAAGGACTGTCGTTCTTGTCTTCAACCACTATGACCTTCTCCGCCACTGCTACTCTCTTGCAGTCAGCATCACCGATAGCTCAAGGAGCTGAAGCAGCAAGTCATCGCTTTGTCTGATATCGTCGTGCTCTCATCCACACGACCCCAATAGTAGAAAGTCTTCAAAGTGCAACTCCATCCGCAACCGTCAGAACCCGTCTTTTTGAAGTACAGGTTCAACAAGCAATATCGGCATCCAACCCTTGACTCATCTCTCACGCGTTCTCGGGTCGCGGGCGAGGCGCGTGCCATTGCGAAATGCTTGAGGTGTGACGTAACCTTCTTGGAATGCAGAGTTGATACTGACACCGATGGGGTGCTAGAGCTGGAGTTAGCGTTCCAGGCATCCGGATGGTAGATGCGACGGAAGGTGTGATCGGCCTCGAATGGATCGATGGTCAGAGCGTACGCAAACTACTCGGCGGCGGCGCAGAAGACGAGATCGAGGAGGTGGAAGGGAGTGAAGGGGACTCGAACGATGCTGCTGGTCCCGGACCTACGGATACGGATGCTTTGCAGGAATACGGCGTGACGACCAGTGAGTGTCAAAGCCGACTCATTCGCAAAAGGCTTTTCAAGCAGCATGCCCATATGTTCAGATAGCCTGATGCGCATGGTCGGAGAAGAGATTGGGAAAATGCATGTCGCAGACATCATTCACGGTGACCTCACTACCTCGAACATGATGCTTCGCCATCCATCATCGGTGCATCCCTGCCCTTTCGTACGTTCTCAGCCTTCCGGCTCTCAGTATGATGCTTAAGTGCTTCAATAGGTCTTGATCGACTTCGGTCTATCGTACATCTCATCATTGGTCGAAGATAAGGCTGTTGACCTTTACGTCCTCGAACGCGCCTTCGCATCCACGCATCCGGACTCATCGTCGATGTTTGAAGGAGTGCTCAATGCCTACGAAACATGCGTTGGCCCGAAGGCCTGGAAAATTGTGAAGGGACGACTGGACGAAGGTACGTCATTGTCATAGACCTGCTACGGCTGGCTATGTACTAATCTCGTTTCATTAAGTACGGTTGCGAGGGCGGAAGAGGAGTATGGTAGGATGAGCGATGCCATCTTCCATACGCAAACTTGTATTCCTAGGAAACACGTTACTTCAAACCGTTTTTTGCATGATGGCAAAGGACCCTCAGCGCTACCGCTCAGTCATGATATATCTTCTGAGGTCGATGCAGTTGCATGATGCCGCAATCTTCCGGGGGATGCACAAGCTTGCTGCTTGGCACGCAACAAAAATCTCCGGGCTTATGCGCGCTATTTTGGAGAAACTGTTTCTCAGCATTCAAAGAAGTTTATAGATTCGAAGCCGGGCCTCGGAACCTCGGAACGCCGGACATACCGGGAGTTTCGGAAGCGCCGGAACACTGCCCAGGCTCGACGACCGTTTCGACGATACGATCGCTTCACTCATGTCGTCGACTCAGGTCAAGCCCGGCATCCGTATCGCGATAGTGTGAGTCTGTGCCTCTACGAGTGACATCGCTTCCAAGGCTGACAAGACAGGTTGGATCCGTAGTGGCGCCGGATTGGCGGGCTTGAGCTGTGCATTGAGCTTGGCGATAATCCACAAATACGCGAGGTGAACGTCTATGACGCCACACAAGAGCTGACAGAGGTCGGAGCCGGGATCGCCCTGTGGCGGCGCCCATGGTTGATCATGGAGGCAATCGGTCTTGGTTCGGAGCTCCGGCGGCTGCAGGCTCGACCTCCCACGGATAAGGCTGGTAAGTCGTAGAGTTGCTGTAGATGACGGCTCTTCTCTGATGATTAGTAAGTCCAGAATTAACGTTTCGGTTCCGCAAGAGTGCCGACAGCGGGAAAAGCTTCACGTTCCACGAGTTGTTCACGAACGGTGCGTCTGAGATGCTAGAGCGGGCTGGAAGCCGTGGCTCATTGTGCTCTCTCCAAGGCGGCCTTCAGTCCTTTCACCGCGCGGATTTCCAGGGCACGCTCCTGAGCCATCTTCCGGAGCTGTACAAGGTGCATCTCCGCAAGCGGCTTGTTCGATACGAGGTCATTTCCAGCGAGAATACCAGCCCGCCCTACAGCCACATCTTGCTCCACTTCGAAGACAAGACCAGTGCAACATGTGATCTCCTCGTGGGTGCCGATGGGGTAAAGTCTACAGTTAGGGCTTGCATGTATGCAAAGGTGGGTACATCCCCGCTTGATGAGACTCGCTGTGATGATTGACCAAAGGTAGAATCCCGCACTGGCCGAGCCGATATGGAGCGGCTGGTGCGCATACAGAGGCCCCATTCCAAAGGCGGTTATGGAGTCGGAATTACCCAAACATCCCGCCAGGGAAGGCCCGCTCATCGTGCGTACATCTTTCCGTTCCTCGTTATCGAGTAGCATCGCTAACGTTATGGGTATCCAGTACTTCGGCAGAAACAAGGTTCGGATGCTCCCCACCGTGTATTGCATTCATTCTACTTACAAAATCTAGATAGCACATGGTGGCGTATCCTCTCCGCACCTCCCACGGCGAGATACGGGCGATCAATGTGGTCGGCTTGTAACCGCCGCCGGAGCTCGAGGGGACCTAGCTGGGTGACCCAGGTTGCGAAGCAAGATGTTATCGAGAAATTCTCGAACCTCGGCGAGGAAGTAAAGGGGCTTATACAGGCATGTACTGCGCATCCGCTGACTTCTCGCGGCGGCTGACCCGAACAATGGCGTCGTGCAGTCAATTGAGCGGCCTTCGCGCTGGGCTATACATACCGTAAACGACCTGCCCTCTTACACATCGTCCCGGAAAGTCTTGCTTATTGGCGACGCCGTAAGTCCGATCAGGCATAGGGCATTTACACGAGTTCATCTCCGTGAAACTGCGCACAGGCACACGCGATGAACCCTCACCAAGGCTCTGGAGCGGGTCAGGGAGTCGAGGTGCGGAATCCGCCCCGGGCCTGCAATCGCCCACTTACATTCGATCAAGGATGGGTACCTCCTCGCCCACCTACTCGCCCACCCCGGCGCCGCGCTTCCGGACGTGTTGCGCGTCTATGACTCGGCCCGACGCCCGACGTCGCAGCGAGTCGCAGCGGTCTCTCGCATGTGCAGGGCATGATCAGCGAGCTCCGGGCTCCCGCATCCGTGGGGCGCGACGTCGACGACCCGCGGACACTGCAAGATATTTGCAGCATGATCGAGCGCGATTGGCGGTTGGCGGTGGGCACGGACGACAAGTGTGGAGGAGGACGTGCAAACGGCTGTGGCGGCTCTGACCTCTCGAGCATATGAACAAAGGCAAGTTGCTTCATAATCACGACAGTGACAACATCTCGCGTGTATCGAACGTCTAGAAATACACACATGCATGCGTCGCGATCACCGCCCCGCACGGGTATCAAATGTAGGTCCGGACATTGAACGCATTCTGCGTTCGACTTGCCATGTGCGCCCAAGCGTTGGGGGTGTCCTACCCCGCATGGGCTACAGAGGGGCTGAGCGCACCGAAAGCGTAGTATGCACTTGGGCATCCTTCCACAATAAGCCGGATTCATCCGGTTCTCCAATGAAGTCCACTTCCCCCCTCTTTGCCCCATCGGCCATGCCCCTCCGCCTTAGAGTCCTCTTAGGATTTCTTGAACGCGAAGCTCCCACCGCAGCCAGGAGCAACCACGTTGGCCCATTCCATGCCTTCGATACCCACCCCACCCGCCTACGGCGCTTGGTGGAAGCGCACCCAAAGTCCGCCCTGGAAACGCGACATCAGAATCACCGCTCACGATGAGGTGACGTGAGCTTTTTACCTTCACGAACAGCGTGATGGCCGCGGCGGGCCAGACGCGTTCGTGTGCCTGGCGCCCGGGGCGCGCCTTCCATTCGGCTGGCGGGCGCGACTCGGCCGGTTGAGCGTCTGGCGCGAGCGAGACGCCATCGAAGCGTTGCAAGAGCCGTACGAGGAAGAAGGAGACCTCGTTCAGCGCGTAGTTCTGTCCGAGGCACTGTAACGCGGCGTTAATGAAGGTCCGTATTTCAAGAGAGGCGGGGGACGTACGATGCGCGGGCCTGCGCTGAAGGGCGTGAACATCATCGGGTTGCCGGTGAACTTTGCCAGCCGGGCGGGATCTATCCAACGGTCCTACATACCCCCCACTCATCGTGAGACGGAAGAAAACAGAAATTTTTGGAGGTAAATGAGGAGACGTACGGGGTCAAACGCGTCCGCGTCAGGACCCCAGAGCACGGGGTCGCGCTGGATGAGCAGCGGGAAGTACATGATGACCGTCTCGGGCGGCATGTAGTACGGCGCGCCGGTGTCGCCTGTGTAGGGATGGGCAGGGCGGGGGAGCGTGCACGGCGCGGCGCGGCTTTCGCGCACGTTGAGCGGAACCTGGTAAAAGTGTGAGTGGCATGAAAAGCGACGAGCCGCATCGCAAACAAGGAAGCCTTACAGGAGGGAAGAGCCGAAGCGTCTCGTTTAAGACGGCGCGGACTGCGGACAATGGCGGTTTAGTGGGGCAGGAGGAACGGAGAGAGAGGATGGGACGCACGGTACTTCATAGCGCGGACGTCGTCCCACGTCGGGGTGCGCGAGGAGCCGCAGCGATCGAGCACTTCGGTACGTAGCCGGACCATCACATCCGGGTGGAGGGCGAGGAGGTAAGTGGTGAACGTGAGAAGGCACGCAGTCTGCAAGCGATCATCGTCATCAGCACAGATGTTTTATTGCAATGAAAAGGTATCAGCGGGCGAAGAGGATGTTTGCGCATATACGGGTAGAATAATGAATACGGAGAAAACAGGGTGGATGTATGTGCATGTGAAAATCGTGGATGAGGATATTGGACGAGGAACACGCACGGTATCGCGAGAGGCCAGAAGGACGTTCAACAGCTGATCCCGTATGAGCGTCTTATCTATCGAAACGGGGACGTCAGCGGGCCATAAATTGGGCTCGAAAAGATGGAAACACACCTTCAGTGCTGTCCACCAAATGCTGCAAAAACGTCTTCCTCTCCTCCTCCTCCTCTCCCGCCTTCTCCTCCCCTTCCACAACGCACCGCTCTGCTAACGCCCGTTCCACCAGTGGATCGAGCCAGCGCCGGATGTCCCGCTGCGCCGCGAGCGATTTGTCTTCGAACAGCTCGGCGAGCGGCCAGAAGTAGTGGCCCAGGCGGGCGCGGGTCGTGGCGATGCGTTGGGCGGATTCGAAGCCGGCGGTGAAGGTGCGGAAGGCAGAGGCGGTCGCGTCGGATTGGGTGGTTGGGAGTGGGGTTGCCGAGGCCGTAGTTGGGGAAGAAGTGGAGGACGGGAGGGGGAGGGGGTGCGAGAGGGTGTCGAGCGTGGCGCCGAAGAGGAAGGAGGAGGCGGCGTCGAGCGAGAAGCGGGCAAAGAGGTCTTGGACTTCGATCGGGTGGGTGGAGAAGCTGTGGGTGGAGAGGATGGCGAGCGCGCGGGAGGTGTGTCTAGACAAAAGGGGGGAAAGATCGATGTTAGCGATGGAGGGGCTGGAAGGGAGGTTAAGTACCTCTCGAAGGTGTCGAAATCGGATATACGTTCGCGGGCGAAGAAGGGACGGGTGAAACTGCGGTGCTGTGATCCACAATGAGCGCCGATGTACGTTGTCGTCAGTGATAGTATGACTTACCATTTTCCACATGTCGTCGTCCCGGTTGAAGATACCTTGGCCGAGGAAGGTTTCCCTGTGTGCATGTATGCGTCAATATCTGCAGTTTTCGATGCCGTAGTGGGGGTGAGCGGGTGCATACATGCGCTCTTTCTGTGCACGTCCTCGCCAGAAGTGTTCGAAACCAGTCGAGAGAACAAACTTGGCGTGCGCCTCGTCCATCGTGATGATCTACGGAGGGGACCCTCTCGTCAGGAACTTGACCAGCATAAAAGTACCCTGCACATCTAGACGTACCTGGTCCTTCCACAGGATGCGCAAGTTCAGCACGCTACTCTGGTGCTCCTCGAACAGCTCCCGATACACGTCCAGCACGTAACTCGTCCGAAACGCCTTCATCATCTTGAACAGCACGTCCACGTTCCCCGGGAGCCTCCCCTTCGCTCTTGGTACCATCCTCGCGTTCATCTCCGCGGCCCGAGACGCATGTATGCGGTCATAGTAGATGCCCTTGGCGTATCCCCACGCAACGAGGAAGCACGAGTAGCACAGGGGCGAAAGCCATCCCAGGGGAACGTCGGCGAGCCGTAGGAATGCGTAGCAGGAGATGGTGGGGAGCACGAGGATGCGCCAGACGTCGTGCAAGAGCCGAATCCTATATGACGGAAACTGGGCTTGCGTCTTCATCGCTGCGTTCTATTCCTGGCTGTATGCGATCCTTCTTCTCAGCGCTCGCCGGTCGCGTCCCGAAACGGAATGGGGAAAGCGGGAGGAGGACAACGCGAGTTTGTCCTCTGCTCCACCGACGGAACGCGGGTATAAAAACCTTCTGCTGCCCGTTGCATTCATTATGGATGTCAGCAAACTGATGGCGAAATCGCTGCCCGGAGTCGACGTCGTGTGCGCCCCCCGGATCCCCGGGATTGATGTCCAGGTACGGCGAGAAACGACCTTGATCCCTGGATGTTACCGCTCGAGGAAGAAGCTCGCGTGGAAGACGCGCCCAGAGCAGGTGGGAGCGACGCGTACAAACATGGTCAAACATCGGTCCTTCGCTTTCGCCGTCCCTCAGCCTGGTACTGCTACCAAATCCGCCCGGTTCCACCGGGTGTTGCTCGGCGATTCCGGCGTTCCATCTGCCACGGTAGTGTCGGGCGGTCATGGCGAGCGCCATCACACCTTCAAGGATGCGTGGTAGGCGTCGGAACAGGACATCCGGCCGGCGTCGGAGTCGGTCGTTATACGTATGCACCATGCTGGCCATGCTGGCATTGGCGAGGACTGCAGTCGGCCTCGGTACCACTGTCGTCGGCGCCTGCTCGTCTTTGAACTTGACCGATCGGTGTCTGTCTGTACCCGCGACGGGGGCGCAAGGGCAAACACGCAGGGCAGTCATTCGGCATGTCAGGCAGCCTCTCACTCGAGTGGAGCTCTGAAGGCAGGTCCGGCCCTCGAGTGGGCGCCCGGATCAAACTCAGCGATGCAGTCTCGGTCATAGCCTAATTGAGCCGATCGCCGTAAAAAGGAAGGCAACAAAAAAGCAAGTAAACCGGTAAATAAATTCGTTTCGATGCTGCTGACCTTCTGGAACCCTAGAAAACAGGTGAAACCTAGGCGAGACTCTCGCATGATCGCAAAGCAGCATTGCGCAGAGTCTGGTAGAGATATCACTCCTAAGACACGTACGGACGCACTCACGATATGACCGCAGGCTTAGTGGCAACGCCGACCAGCGGGGGTGCTCATGACGTTGCTATCTGATGGCTGAGCAATATCATCCACAGCATCAGTATTTTCCAGAGGCGCAATATGGAACCGTCGCATGTGCAAGCCCATGCGGTCGTCCCATGCTGGTGTACGTCCTCTACGGACGTCCGGGCACTCAGTTGCTGAGTCCGACACCACGCAGAGGATATACCCTTGAATCTTGTACCATCAACAGCCAGCTATGCCCTGTGATCATGCTGAGACCGCGCTTCGGCAATCTAATCTATGATAAACGCGCCACCCTTTCTCAAGTACCCCGCATCGCGCGCCAGAGACCGTCGGTCACTCCCAAGCACCGACATCTTCCGCGCTTCCTATTCGCTCTTCTCCCCCACGCTCTTCGCCTTCTGGGCCGATACGATCTCGCCTCTCTCTCGTTGGCTTGGTTGATAACGCGGCGCGTAGATCCGGCAGATACACAGGCAAGGCCGCTCGTTCCAACTTTGTCTCTCTTTCCCCCGGTAGTCATAAAACTTCACAGGGAAAGTCTATGCTGACTTAACATCGCGGTTGATAGGTGCGAGTGACTTCGGCCCTGGAGGTCGGGAGGCACGGAGATGTGCGATGACGTCGTTCGGATCGCGGGCCAGCATAGGTGAGACGTGAGTCCTTCGCCATTGAGTACAATCCACGGACACCTGATTTTCGGGGACTTCATACCGGCTACAGCGATTACGATGGGGGTCCAACGCGGCGCCCATGCGGTGCAACGCGGGGGACCCGAAGATCTGACCAGAAAACTGATCGTGCATTTCTTCTTATTTTCTTTTGGCTTTCCATCTTGTGCCGTGCGGAGGGATCGCGTTTCAAGTTCGTGTTCGTGTGCTCCCTCACTTCCGCGGTCCATCGACTACGCTAATCTTCCTGCTTTTCTCGCAGAAAATGGACCCCTATAGAGCCTGAACCGTGTTGCACCCATGATCGGCGCGCCAATTTAGCGCAACAGGCGAGATGGGAATGGGGAAGCTTTTCCAGAGGTCGGCGCATATCAAGCGCCGACGCTGATCTGTTCCGCCAGTTCCCGATCGATCTTCCTCTACTTGCGACGCTGAAAAGCCTACGGCAGGATCTCAATGGCTTCGTACCTGTCGAAGTTTCGCGTGCAAGATAAGATGCGCGGTCATCGCCTGACTTTGGAGCGCTCCAGGACGTACGGGTGCTGCGATTGAGGCGCGGTCTCCCAGATGCGGTTTCAGGAAACGAGGCTGCTCCTTTGCGCAATGTACCCGGGAGGCATATTGTCTAACCGCACGCACTCTCAGCATTCGCCGCCAAATGGCGGCCTTGATTCATGCCGCCCAGATACCGCAACGACGTACGATCGAAGATCAGACAAATTAGTCGACGTCGCTTATACATCGTCATCGAGCTCCCCTCAACTGCGCCGGACGTGCGATGCAAAAATTAACGCGTTCCGTATAAAAGGCCGCCTGGGGATCTACGTCTTGGTCAGTCTCGTCTAGTCTTCTCTGACCCCTCAACCCGGAACTGATCAGACGCTTGGGCTCGCTGTAGCTTTGAGGAAGGGAGCTGATCGTGGCCGCGATGGGCTCCCTTACTCGCAGCTAACGTGGTGCTGTCGATTGTGGCTCGCAGTGCGTACCCCACTTCGTATCCTGATGCAATTCACGAGAACACCATCATGGAGAGGCAGCGACAGCTCGCCAACGTTGGGCTCCGTCCTCGAAGTGAGTTCGGACTGGCCTGGTTCCATGGGCAATGCTTTGCAATCACAAACAGGATACAGCGAGAGTACTGCTCTCAATGTCATACACAACTGAAACTAGTCGACGCGTTTACATCTCCGCCATTATACTGGATGGTTAATGGATACTGTCGTCGCACAAAAATTTCAAACTTGGTTCGAAGATCCGATTCCAGTAATTGCTTACCTTGCACAACGGTCGAGTGAACCCTATACCGTTACTGTGATCATTGTCGACGTACCAAGCCGCCGTCAATCGTACGGGTGCCATTCCGTTCTCTACCCATGCAACAAGCGCCTGTAGGATGTTGTGCGATGGGTCGTTATCCAGTGGAGGCTGACCAGATGACGTTTGCATGACGCCACCAAAAGCGTTGGCCCCGAAACCTTCCTTTACGTGATGTTAGCCAGCCGAAGGCGTTTATCAAGAGGAATCGAAGGTACCTTGCTAGAATCACAAACATATGAGCACATCACCGGACTAATACCGAACAACCACTGACCAGTGTTTCATCCCAGGAACGGGAAACAGCCGATAGACATTGTCAATGTCTCCCAGCGCGTTAGCCTGCATGAATGACTTGACGGAGTTGTAGTATAGCTTCGAGTTGCCGGGCGATATCAATTGATCGGCCAAGCCTGATAATGGTAAAGCTCGGCACGGAGACATACGGAAATGAGCTCCACGTACCAACGTAGTGTATGAGTTTGCCGTTATGAGGAGCGTTAGTGAAGGCGGAGATATTGGGATCTATGGCCTTTCAATTGAAATGCATTAGGACCAGGGGCCAGGAAAGAAATGATATCACGCACATTTGCATGACCTACGTCAAGCCTATCACCTAGCTGGATGGCAGCTAGATTGAGCTGCGAGACATGCCACGATGAATCACTGTAAACACAATGAATTGTGTCCTGTAGTCGTCACGAGATTAAACACACTTCATGACAAAATAACGCTCATAATAGAGGGCCAAGTCCGAGACATGGTCGCCTACGAGGGCATTCGGATAATCAAGCTCTCCACCGAGATACAGTCCGTTGAAGATGAACGTGTTATTCGCCTCGATGTAGTCAGAGTAGACTTGCATGAGCGCGTGGACTTGCGTGCTGGTCAGACAGTTGGTAGAGTTGGTGCTGTTGCAGGTGATAGGCGAAGGATCGAAGCTGTGACATGTTAGTGGGTGGTAATCGTTGGATCCGAAATCATCTCACGTACTTGCACCGCGTAGGGTCGTTCAGGATTCCATCCTCTACCTGGACGAAGGTGAACCTAGCTTTGGCAGTAGAAAAAGGTTGATACGTACACCGTCTAACCCGTCGCACTGCCTCAACACCTCGTTATGGATCAGATTCTGCCACGTCGCCGCTGGTATCCACCGCGTCGAGTTGACAGGCTGCACCAGGCTGTTGACGTGCAGACTCCAAGGCTGGACGTGAGTCATCCAGTTAGCGGGTGAGCCAATGACCTGTTCGCCATTATATGAGGTCGAGTATATAACGGACGTTGATTCCACTTACGACGCCGTCAAAGTCTCCCGGGAACATCTGGACTTCCTTTAGTCTGGTAAACAGCGCGTGAACTCACGTCATCGAGATGTCCTAGAGGACGGCAAGCAAACTTACCCCTGCCGACCACCTATTGAGGAAGATCAGAACAGATTTCGTTAGTTTGTATAACCCCGAATTCACGTACCTGTCGAACATCCAATATAGTAGCTCTTGTTTACCGCTTGCTGATAGTACGTTGTGACCACCATCTTTCCAACCACTACGGAAACGTGCATTGCCCTCCACGACCAATCAATGATGGCCTCCTGCGGATTTCTTCATCCATGATCCATCCACCAGGAGCCGGGTCTGACGAAAAAGGAGACATACATCGTTATGAAGAGGCCATGGAGTACCGCCTGACGTATCGTTATGCCCCGTGTCGGTCGAGACCCCCGCGACTACAAACAGGACGATTAGTCTTCTTTACAGAAGCTCGCCGATGAATTCTGCTCACAACCCTGGGCCACGGCTACGAAGCCTAAATCCTCGACGACGGCTCCATCGTTGGGTAAGTTGCGGAACGTACAAGTAGTGAAAGGAGAAGACAAAAAATACCTCCTCCACTGTGTCCTGAGTTCCCGATGGCCAAGAACCGCCCGTTCCAATTCAGCGGAAGCCACAGCTCTGCACCCGCAGTCTTGTTAGTGGCCGGGTTTGTGACGACCGTTAGTTGTACACCTATCGAGGAAGAGCAATCGAATGAACGAAGATAACTGCAGGAAATTACCACCAAGCCTTACGACAAAAAGCAGGCAGATTCGTCGAGTCAATCGACGAAGACGGGTTCACGATATTGACCCGGTCTCCAGCATGGAAGTACTGGCTAGGAGCAGTAGTACTGGCAACTCCTGGCTTTGTGTATCGGAACGCCCGGCAAGCATCGGCCGCGGTGTCGGACGCCCGGGGAGCAATATAGGTACCAACCGCCACTTGGACGTAGACGTGGAACAGGATGAGCAGTAAGCGCTGTGTCGCTCGGTGCATGGTGCTTATGAACAATAACGACGGGTGCGGTGAGCAAGAACACGCAACAACAGTTGCCTCTGTACAGTTCTGCAGGTAACCATTCTAAACTGAGCAGCACATATGAACATATCAAGAAGGTGCGAACCAGGTATAATGTTAGTGTGGATCCGAGCAATGCAAGCGCACTAGAGGGACGTATCTGAGCTGATCCCATCGTTCCACGCACCACACATATTTATGCTCGCGCGTATCCATGTGTACTCCATCTATTGAGTGCTGGGAGCACCATCTTCGGACATCGTGTTCAGGAATCCCGAAAAGAGAGGGTTCGGTCTTTCCTCCCAAAAAATTCCAAGACACAAGCGATGCAGATCGATCCCTCCCTGACTTCAAGACTCTTCGCCGACGCGCTTCTTGATATAGTTTGCCATTCATGGAAACTTACCGAGCGGGATTTCTGAAAGAACCAGCGACTACTCACTGGCGGTAATTAGCCAACATAAGGCATGCCCTCGCCAAGGCAGGGAAGCGACTGCGGGAGCCATCATTGTTTTCATCTTGGAAGCAGCGTCTCCTAGTGTTGCCAGCAACCAAGCTGCGTAATTTGTGAAACTTTGACGGGCGTAAATTGGGTCCATGAGCTTGCAGACTCGCAAATCGGTAGAGGATCTAGAAGAAACTAACCTCACTACTGAAGTCATCGGAGGGTTAAAACCAATATTGATCATGTTAGTCAGCACGCCTTGTTCGCTCTGTCCCGCCCTTTAATCATAACAGCGCGTTCATAATATTTGCATACCTTATGGTTTCCTGTTGCGAAGTGTATGTCAACGAATACCGAGCATGGCTTTAAGAATCGAAGCTCGTGCAAGACCAGGTTCCTGAGACCGGAAGCCTACGGCGTTGAACATACTTCGCTGTACGCTTCGTGACGCCCGCAATAGAGGGCAATTCAGGGCGAAGTGCAGTGAAACCCTTCAGCCACATACCGCATTTTTTGACGGCGCGGCGGACTGTGACAGCTGAGGGGATCTTTTACCACCTGCGGATACACTCTAGTTTGTGCGATTGCTCTATTATCGGCTTGAAAGTCGTCGTGATTGTAGGGTGCGAGGCCAACGGGGGCGAGGGCTGATCGAGGATGGTGATGTCTGCTGTGCAAAAGAGAGGGACTGCTTCTCTCCATCGATGAGGTTCGTGAAATCGTATTTTCAGCGTTCAGCGAACTCACGAAGTCAGGCCAACGGGAAATTTGTGCGCGCAAGCCAAGCACGTGGCGGCTACCAGTCGTTTGAAGTTCTGTTCAAAGACCCTCGTGTTCCATGTGTCTCGCGATATCAATCTATTTTCCCAGGAAGAACACAGCAACACCCATCCTATCCTGGCCCAAGTAGGAGAGTCTACGTCCCCATATCGGCAGCTGCATCCAGCTTCACATTCTGCTCGCTTAGCTGGATGATGCGAGACCGTATCTTCTTTCTTTGCAGTCATTCAGACTGGCGTCGTTGAGAAACATCATGATGCCATTCAATTATAGAGCGCGGGTGGCGTGGGGAGTCGAATCTACGTCATACGCAGCTAAAACTGGTCGATGCGTTGACATTCCCGCCGTTATACTGGATAGCGAGCGGATGCTGTCGCCGCACGACAGCTCAGTCTCGCTCCAACGGACTTGATCGCGAAGTAAAAATACTTACCTTACACAGTGGCCGAGTGAAACCAATTCCATTGTTGTGATCGTCGTCCACGTACCAAGCCGCTTCAAGTCGGACTGGCTCTGCGCCATTCTCTACCCACGCGACCAGCGCCTGAAGGATGTTATGTTTTGAGTCGTTTTCTAGTGGAGGTTGCCCAGACGATGCTTGCATGACTCCACCGAAGGCGTTGGCGCCAAATCCCTCCTAAGGAATGATGTCAGACGTTTATGACTAGGTCGCGCGGGGTCTAAGGTACCTTGCTGCCACGGAAAAGATGTAAGCACAAGTCCAGTCAAGGGCGGACAAGAGCTGACCAATGTTTCATGCCGGGAACAGGGAAAAGCCGATAGGCGTCGTCGATGTCGCCCAAATCGTTATCTTCCATGAACGACTTAACGGAATCGTAGTATAGCTTCGAGTTCCCCGGAGATATCAACTGATCAGCTAAGCCTGGAACGAACAAAATTAGCGCAAAAAAAAAAGGTAAGGAGTGCCTCGGACCGACGTAATGTATGATCTTGCCGTTATGGGGAGAGTTAGTGAAGGCGGATATATTGGCTTCTATAGCCTTTGGGTTGACGAGGTATCAAAATGATAGATTAGGGACGAAAGCAAGAAAGACGCGTTGTGTCACGCACGTTCGCTTGTCCTACGTCAAGTTTGTCGCCTAATTCTATAGCTGCCAGGTCAAGCTCTGAGACATGCCAATCTGAGTCGCTGAGATCTCGGTAAGCAATGTGATGGTACCCTCAGAGGGAGCGGACGTACTTCATGACGAAATACCGTTCGTAGTAAAGAGCTAACGTAGAGACATGATCGCCTACGAGAGCATTCGGATAGTCAAGTTCTCCACCGAGGTATAGCCCATTGAATATGAACGTGTTGTTTGCCTCTACGTAGTCAGAAAAGACTTGGGTGAACGCCGCGACTTGAGCGCTCGTCAGACAGTCGGAAGAGTCGGTGGCGTGGGTAGGGCAGGTGATAGGCGAAGGATCGAAGCTGTGGCATGTTAGTCATTATTCATTGAGCTCGAATCGAGCTTACGCACTTGCACTGCGTAGGGTCGTTCAGGATCCCGTCCTCTACCTGGAAGAAGGTTAACCTGGCTTTAGTAGCAGAAAAAGGTTAGGACGTACACCGTCTAACCCATCGCACTGCTTCAGCACCTCGTTATGGATCAGATTCTGCCAAGTATCCGCTGATATCCACCCGGACGAATTGACAGGTTGCACCAGGCCATTAACGTGTAGACTCCAAGGCTGGACGTGAGTCATCCAATTTGCGGGCGAGCCGACTACCTGTCGTCAGGCATGTAAGGTCCCGTATACAAGCAATGTCGAGTGTGATTGAAGGCTACTTACGACACCGTCGAAGTCTTCTGGAAACATCTGGACTTCCTTCAGTCTTAGATTACGATGTGTCAGCCTATCTGATCGATACGCGCGGTAGTATGGCGAGCATACTCATACTCACCCTTGCCGGCCACCTGTCGAGAGAGGTCAGAACGTCATTCGTTCGAGCTCATCTGGCTCCCATGATGCTTACCAGTCGAACAACCAATGTAATAACTCTTGTTCGCAGCTTGCTGGTAATACTGTTTAACCACCTCTTTCCCCACTTGGACGGAGACGTGCATTGCCCTCCATGACCAGTCAATGATGGCATCCTGCAAGTCCGGATTCCGGAGTCAGGATGCGACCCCAAACATACGCACAGTAAGGAGTAGCTTACGTCGTTATGCAGAGGCCAAGGAGTATCGCCTGACGTCCCATTATGCCCAGTGTCGGTCGAGACACCAGCAACTGCATACGAAGTAATTAGTTCTACGTCGGAGCGGCCCGCCGTCCAGGTGCGCTCACAACCCTGCGCCACGGCTACGAAACCTAGATCTTCAACGGTGACTACATCGATGTGTTAGTAGCGTACGTGAAATGGCTGGAGGGAAGGGTCGATCCGTACCTCCTCCACTGTGTCCTCCATTCCCAACAGCCAAGAAACGTCCGTTCCAATCTTCTGGAAGCCACACCTCCGCGTTCGCGGTCTTGTTGGTGGCTGGGTTCGTGACGACCTTGATCTGCACGCCTGCTCAACAGGAGGGCTGTTTAGTAACGGTGTTAGGTTAGCAAACGGCACGTTAAGACTGACGACAGAACGCGGGCAGATGCGTCGAGTTGATCGACGAGGACGGATTCTCAATGTGGACGCGGCCCCCAGCCTCGTAAAACTCGTTATCGGCCGTGGTTTCTGCGACTCCTGGGTCTATGTACTTGAATGCGGCGCAAGCGTCGGCGCCCGTGTCGGATGCCCGGGGAGCAATGTAGGCGCCACCGGCCACTTGGAGGTAGACGTGGATAAGCACGAACAGCAAACGGAGTGACCTTCGGTGCATTGTGTCGATGGTCGAGGGCGTATAGTGAGCAATGATGCGCGATAATGGTCGTCTATATCCAGTCCTGCCGTTGGCCATGTCCATACTAAGCGTTGTACACGATAAAAGTAAGAAGAGACGCACTAGGTCTATTGACGGATCAGAGTCGGGCGATGCACATGCACTGAAGACGGGACTCGAACGGGTGCCGTTGGGTGTTATCCCATCGTTCCACGGAGATTTAATACTCGCGCATATCCCTTGGCGAGTACCCTCTTTCTTAAGTATTGGGATAGCTCCCTCCGGGAGCCGCGCTGAAGGGATCGCAAAATACGGGGTTAGTTCGAACTTCGAAGGACCGAATGTCGTCGACGCCGAGGGTCAGAAAGCATCGACAACGGATTCCTCGATGCCTTCTCCCGAACTTCTGCGGCCAAGAGACACGGGCGAAAGCGAACCGAGCAAAACGTGAAGACAGAGCCGGCTTCCGAGGTGGAAACGATGCTCGCCTCCGCAGTCTATCTCCCATTTCGGTGAGAACGCGCTGATGGTTTGACCAAGGCAGCTTTCATCGGGCTGTTGCCAGCGAGGGTCTAAGATTGACCACAAAAATACGAGGGTGGGTTCGAACTGCAAACGGCGAACAACGTCGCCAACGTCGGCCGGGCCATGGGGGAGTCTTCCTCTATTCTTCTTCCGGATTTTGCGAGTAGTCGATGAGTACCGGCCACGGCGCAGAACGTGTAACTAGAGACAGCTGCCGAGATGAACGCGACAATTTTCCTACTTTGGCCGAGACACGTTCAAAGCTGACCAAGCCGGCGGTCGGTGTTCTATCCTGGAGAACCAGGTCGCTGAGCGACCGCAGGACACGGGGGGTTTGGGTCGAACTTCGAAAGGCCGGTGGCCGCCACATGCGATAGTGTCGTCGACGCCAAAACAAAGCATTGAGAAGTATCCCTCGATGTCTTCTTCTTGCCCTTTCGACCAATGAAAGAGCGGGAAGGCGAGCATGACGCGAAGGAGGATGCCGTTTCGGAGATGAGAGTGATGATTAGCTCCGCGGTCCATTTCCTACTTTGACGAGAACGCGCAGATGTTGGCCAAGCCGCCGGACGCAAGTATTCCTCGAGTGCTCTCAGGGAAGACGGTCGGTAACGATTATCATGAAACGTCGTCAAGGCTCGGTACGTGTTGCAGCAGAATGAAGTTGCAGCGAGAAGGCGCGTCGGCGAAGCGCCCTAAAAATCGGGGAGCATTGAGGTTTGCATTGCGGTGCGTCTTGGCCTCCCGGATCGCCCATATTTGTCGGATAATTTGCGATGAAAAAGTGATATGAGCACGAACTCGGCGCTGGGTTGCAGATGAGGGATGCAACAGACAATCCCGCACTGGAACGGAGTTTTCCGCGGAGCGTTCAATGCATCCCGTGATCGCCCCTTTGCTTGCCCCGAGCGTTGGGCGTTTTGAGTCGGGCCAGTTGCTCATTGTTCGTCAAAGAACAATGTGCATAATACAGGAGAGTCTGTATGTATGATCCTCGACATCACAATGCCAGGACGACTACAACAATCCCGACTCGGCGTCGCATTCGTCATCTGAGCTCAGCCTTTCTCATGGTATCTTGGACGCCCTTCTCTCAGCGCTGCATTTACGTGCTCCACCGAGCTCGCTATCATGCTACGATCTCGCTCGGCCGCACTCGCCTACTCGGGTGCTCGCGCGGCTCCTCGGTCATGGGCTTCCAGAGTAATTGTTCGGGGTGACCTCGGTCGGCGGGCTCGCTTCCTCTCTGCGGCAGCCGGGAACGCGGTGTCGGTCAACGCGGACAGGCTGAATCGCACGATACACGAGACGTGTCGGTGGGGAGAGGCCCATCGGTTTGGCCCGTGAGTACTCGACTGGTCCCTCTTCCTTTTCCGCCTGCAGTAGCACGACGATGCTGATCGAGGACGTAGGGATCCGACGGAGACGGGGATGTGCCGCCTCGCGCTGACCGACTCGGACGCGGAGGCGCGACGCTGGTTCGTGGACGAGATGAAGGCGCAAGGGTGTAAGGTGTCGGTCGACCAGATGGGCAACATCTTCGCTGTGAGAAAAGGGAGGAAGGAGGGCGCGCCGACCGCGATGGGCAGCCATCTGGACACGCAGCCGAGTGGTACGTCTCGTTTCTCACCTCTAGACTCGGTATATCGGACGGAGGACTTACCAGAGGGCATATCCAGGCGGCAGGTACGACGGCATCCTCGGCATTATATCTGGCGTTGAAGCCGTCCGCACCCTTAACGAACATAACATCGAGACTGAATACCCCGTGGCCGTCGTGAACTGGACCAAGTACGTCTCGCTCCGCGACTTCTTCCACTCCTTTCCTGACACCCATATCTATCTAAGCGAGGAAGGCGCACGCTTCCCGCAGTCTGTCGTTTCGTCCTCCGTTTACGCCGGCTCGACCCCCCTCGCGGACGCGTGGGCGCTGGCCGACATCGCGGACGCTTCAAAGACGATGAAATCCGAGCTCGAGCGAATTGGGTTCCTGGGTTCCGTTCCCTGCTCGTTCGACGCGAACCCCATCGCGGCCCACTTCGAGCTCCACATCGGTGAGCACCCCGATCACACCGTCCCCTCCTCCCCCCACCACGTCGTTCTTGCCTACCTTGAACTAACTCACCCGTCCGTCTGTGTTTGCAGAACAGGGCCCGATCCTCGAAAAGGCCAAGGCCAAAGTCGGCGTCGTGACAGGCGGGCAAGGTTACAGGTGGTACGACGTCCAAGTCTCGGGCCGCGCCGCGCACTCGGGCTCGACGCCGTTCTACTCCCGGAGCGACGCGCTGCTCTGCGCCGCGCGGATCATCGCCAAGAGCAACGAGATCGCGAAAGAGCACCGCGCGCTGGCGACCACCGTAAGTCCCCCCTCCCTCCGTCCTCGATCCTTCCTTCTCGAAAAGTTGATAACCAGCGACGTCGGCGCAGGGTATACTCACCCTCGAGCCGGGCTCGACGAACGTGATTCCCTCGTCCGTTCGGTTCACGCTCGACGTGCGCCATCCGGACATCAAACCTGACACGCTCGACGCCGTAGAGCGCGACCTGATCGACGCCACGTTCGAGATCGCGCTGAAAGAGAGCGAGCTCGGGTGCGACGTGAACTGGAAGCGGACGAGCGTCGCGAACGCGGTGCAGTTCCCGCCGGCGGGCGTGGAGTGCGTGAAGGAGGCGGGCGTCGCCGTGGTGGGCGAGAAGAAGGTCTTAGAGATCGTGAGCGGCGCGGGACATGATAGGTAAACTTTTCTTGGTTCGTCGTCACTGTGCTGATGTCGAATGTGTCGTGCAGCTGTGCGGTTTCCTATCGATGCCCGACCTCAATGGTCTTCGTACCGAGCAAGGACGGGCTGTCGCATAACCCGCGCGAATACACAAGCCCAGAAGACTGGTAAGCGCTCTCTCGCAGGTACAGCACCCGACTGACAATCTTCCGTAGCGCAATCGGCGCACAGGTTCTCTTGAACGCGGTATTAGCGTATGATAGGAGACGTGCCGCGGGCTTGGTTTGAGAGCATCCATGTATGCAATTCATCTCACATCTCTGTCGTTCAGGATGGGCTTGACGCAAGTTCCAGCATGAAGGCGATAGATGGCAAGCCATTTGGCGAAACGCATGTCACATATCATTGCCATATATCTCCACAACTACAAAAGATGCGTCTGCAGCTCTGCTCATTCTTCCCTTGGTTCAGTGCGTGTTTCTTCTGCGTGGAGTCGTTTCAGAATCAGATGGACAGGGATGGATGATGAAACCTACCAAACTTATTGCGTACGCTTGGCCTGTAACATTCCGCCCAATGCTCGCCGTGTGCCATCTTGCTAAGATCCAGCGTCACAGGAGGAGGACGATGAGCCTGTGGGTCGCGCTCGGGACCGATCCCCGGGTACAAAGCGCATGAAGTAAGAAAGAGGGGCCAGAGTTGAGCTCGGTGCTGGACGGGCACCCACAGCAGCGCCTCGCCGCTTGGGCCGCGGATCCAGCCATCGTCCTCCAGCTGCACTGGTCGACACAAGGCGGTGTCTGTTTCTGTGGCCCCGCGGATACGTGAAGGGAGGAGGCGCTCTGCGCCGTTGAGCGCGTGCTCTCGTAAAGGCGACAGGCAGATCACGGGGACGCGGTCATCAGACTCGTACCGCTCAGCGGACGGATGATTCGCAAAGAGAACAATGCTGCGAACGTCCCAAACCCGGATGCGGAGGTCGATGGCGGCGGTGATGATTTGAGTTCCATCGGGGGAGAATTTCGCATCCAGAATGCTGGAATCATATCGATGCGTCATGTATCGGCCGCGAATCGGCGCACCGGTATGTGCATCCCACAAGCACATACCGGAGGTATCGGTCAGTGGCTCGTATGTAAATACTTCCGTGGCTAGCAGCGTGTTGTCGGGGGAAAACATCATTTTTGTGAATCTTGATATCAGGTTGTTGTTATCTCCGACCCAGGGGTCACCCACTAGTTCACCAGATCGAGGGTCTCGGTGGTATATGGCGGAACCTGGGTATATGGCGGAACCTGGGCATTTGGTCGGAACCAGGATGCGCATTCCGTCAGGAGAGAAAACGAAAGACGAGCGCTGGATGTTTCGTAACGTAGTCAGGATCATTAGCTTCGGATCGCACTGAAAGAGCCTGAAACTGTTGTTTCTGAAGCTGATTGCGATGCGCGTACCGTCGGGAGAAAACGACATGCAGGAGACATATGTTCCCTCAACGCTGTCTAGGAGTGTGTTTGAGACCTCCGCACCGGAGCGAGTGTCCCATAAATAGAGCCTGTTCGGTGATATAACGGCGAGGCGTTCTCCATCAGGTGAGAAAACTGCTGCAGAGAAGATCTCTTTACGTTGGAACGAGCCCGTAAGAAGTGGTACGTCGGTTGAGCCTCCTTTTCGCAAATCTTTGACTCTCAGGCCTGGTGCGGAACGAAGCGCAAAGAGCACGCCATTTGCAGAGAATGCAAGCAGGTTATCGCTAGTGATGCCATGCAGAGATGGCGAAGTAATCTCTTCAAGCGTTCGGGCATCCCACATTCGCACCATAGAGCCAGGGGTATCCTCCCAGGATACCAAACGTGAGCCGTCAGCACTCATGAATACCCATGGCCTCGACGGATAGCGTTTAGGTGTTACATCTGGGGTGGTATTGCATACCCGTTCGGTTGGACGGGTTTGTCGAAGACGTTCTCGTGTATGATTGGGAAGTGATAACTCGTGTGCTTCGTATGAATCAGATTATAGATAATGATGGAGAATTAGATATAGTACTCACCAGAGGTAGACGTGGATTGTGAGGGTCTTATGTGGTGCTTATTGTCGGGTGTCCTGCCAGAATAATGATTGGTGCCAGATATTCCTTGGTGTATGTCCCATATTCGCACGGTGCAATCATTAGATCCAAAAGCAATGCGTCTTCCATCAGATGAGAAAGCGAGGCAGCGCACGGTGCTTGATAGTCCTCGAAAGGGTTGACATACGGGTTTGCCGGTTCGAGCATTCCACACTTGAATGGCAGCACCAGTTCCGACAGTAGCAGATGCAATGAGAGCTCCGTCCCGTGATACGGCAATACTCTGGAGTCCCCAGGGCGAGCCGGAATCTATCTCCTTCACTATTTCTGCGGTAGAGACGTCATATTGTCGGATCATCCCGTCCGAACATCCCACATAAATGTATGCCCCGTCTGCGGAGAGAGTGAATGTCAAATCGCGAAAGCCAGATTCAGCGGGTATAAGAGAAAACAGCCTAATGGCGCTGTTATCTCCGCTGTTCCATAGCCAAAAGGTGTTGCGAGATATCGCGATGATGCCTGTGTTGTCAGAGGTAGATACCGCGATGATGGAAGTGGGAATGAGCTCTAGATCTGAGCTCATCGGATCTCCTATCATCGCGCCGGAGCTTGCATCCACGATTCGGATATTGAGGTCTGCAGATGCACATACTATCTTCCCGCCATCTGGTGAGAACGCAACGCTTGCAGTCGGAGGGAGAGCCGCAATATTGCCGTCGCTGGGCCATTTGCACTCGCCTGTGTCACAATTCAAGAGCGCAATCCCTGGTTCAGACCAGAGTCCGGCCACAAGACCGGCATCATCGGGTGAGAATGCGACTGATGTGACGCGGTGCCCCACGTCAAATACGCAAGTGTGGGATGGCCAGTCACCGTCCAAGGCGCTCGTGATACGGGGAGTTCCAGGATAGTCGAATCGTGGAAAGTGTGAGTTCATCGGACAAAACGCGAGAGCCGAGAGGTATACGTGCGGCGCGTACCGACGGATGGGGACCCCGAACTCACGTGCAAAGCGCACGAGGTCATGTAGAACTGACTGGAGCTCCGAGAGAAGTCTGTCCTGAAGGCTATCCTAGAACCTGGGGGTAAGTACAGTCGTCTGAGCGTCATGTTGCGAGGATGCATTCGAACCTTGCTCACGACCTGATCAAAGGATTGAACGGAGAAGATGGAATCGACAGAGTTCAGTAGACTCAGGGCCTCAATCCAGAAAAGAGATTTTTGACGCATCACGGAAGTGGCCAGGGTCAGTAGTTCTGATCGCAAATCCGATTGTTTGAGATGGTACGCCCAGTACTTGCACGCATACGCCAGCGAAGAGGGGATCCTTGTGCAATCTTGATCTGCGTTCGGCCAATACGACGAGGCCAGGTTCCCTATGTTGAAGCGGAGCTCGCAATTCATGCAGAGTAAGGTAGAATGGGCATATTCAGTGTCGGCACCTGGGGCATCTATGGAGAAAGCCCCGCTACGAGAGTGATCAAGAAGGAAGTCGCGAAAGGATGTGTGGAGCGGTCGAATGGGATCTTCAGCGCCATGAACACCACTCAAGAGCGATCCCATATGGCGTACAATCAATTCTATATCGAGTCGAGAACCGAGGAGATCATCGAGTTGTTCGACTGACAGAGGCTCCCTTGCCCCGAGGATGCTGCCCAACACCCGTCGATATCGTGCCATGACCGGCTTCTTGGTTACATCAAATAGGGAGCAGAGAATTTGTGTGTATAGTTTGTCAAGAGTCGAACTCTTCGATGAAGTCAGTTCCAATCCTGTGAAGAGGGTTTCCAAACGCTCCTCTGCTGTCATTCCGGCGGAGGACGCATCTGTCAGAGCAATACATATGGTTTGCGCCCACTGAAAGAGGCCCTCCGACGCCTGGGAGAGCTGACGACAAGTATCCTCATAATCGCCGAGCCCGGCCTCCAAAGAACGAAGGCTCGAACGGATATAAGACTTGATGTCGGTGAGGGTTGAGTGAAGGGGAACGGAGTCCATGCGTTTGCATCGAACGTGGTGGCCGTTGCAAAGGTAGCTCTCGATATCCGATTCCGGCCGAGCGGTGACAACAATGCGAAAATTGGAAGGAAGAGCGCCGATCGCGTTGCCTAGGACGGAAAGGAGTTCTCTGCGAACCTCAGATCCTACGGGCCCACTCTCGTCGAGAGCATCGATGACGATAACGATCGGGCCGGTGAGGTCGATCCGCTTTGCTGGACTCTCGATGAATCTCCGGAACTGAATCTCTATGTCTGACGTCGAGAGATCAGAACGCTTCTCTGAGATTGCGTTGAGGAGCGTCGTCTTCAACAAGGGATCGACGTCTGCTAAGTCTCGAGCGATGGTGGGGAACAACAAGGCTGGACCACGCTCCGGGAAGGAGCGATCAAAACAGAACGAGGAGCCGAGACGTCCCATGTCGTCGAAAAGCCGTGCGATGGAGTGCGCAATGGCGGACTTGCCGGTGCCTGCCTGGCCGACGAGGAGATAGATACGCTCGTCCGTGGAGTCGTCGTTGATCCACGTCGATATTTCGTCCAAGATCTCCACTCGGGTGCCAGGGTAACACTGTTTCTTTCTCTTGTACCCCGCGTCATCGGCGTAGGGAAGGCTGTTTAGAAGTGCCTGTGATGCTGCAGAGCCGTTTGAGAGTGAAGTGGGATTGGTAAAGGTGAATGGCATACCGATATCTTCAGTAATGATGACGCTCCTCAAGACGCGGTGGACCGCAATCTCTGACCGCACCACAGAGTGCATCGTGATCTGATCGCGGAGCGCGATGAACGTGCTGGTGTACTCTGCAATCTTCTGATCAATATCTAGCAGCCTGTTCTTGACTGTACGGGTCCCTGTGGAGTAGATAGATGAGCGGAGGGAAATACACACATTGCCGAGTAAGGAACGCACAGAAGCGCGGGATCTTCGTGTAATCTCGAATGAAGTAGGCGCAGTCGACCGTTTGCTTCGATAGCAGCGACAGCTGTCGATCTGCCGATGGCAAAGTGCACAGCTGTCGAGCTTCAACGACGAAGCTATAGGTGTCATGTACAGCTTCGAACAACTTGTTCATCGCCTTGTCCTGTTCCGACTGCGTGATGATGGCCTAGAGCGGAGAGCACTTCATCAATGCAAGCTCGCGATATATCAAGCAGCAGATCGTACATTCGGAATTGCGGAAAGAACAATCCAGGCCATTTTCGCGTAAGGATGAACCTGTACAATGCATCAAATATCTCGAGGATCGGACATACTGAACACGCACATCCACGACATCGTCTACGATCTCGACAAAAGTCTTGAGTCGATGCAACAGGGAGTCCCATGTCCTGATAGGCGTGGTGACAAAGCCCTCTGGATAACTCTGCTGGAGGTCCTTCATGACATCTTCGAGGTCCGAAACAGATGAAGTGCACCCATGAGGAAGTACAGCCGCAAGTCCATCGTCAGGCGCACTTTCCAGGGCGACTGTACTTAATTCAGATGTGCCTACCTGAATCACGACGGCTTAAATCAGAGGTCGAAGTGATTGTGAGAGAGCCAGCTCATACGCACTGGCTGAGAGCTAACGTAGAGCAATGGGCTTGAAAGCTGACGTTGCCTACGTGAGCAATCGAATCCGAGGTTTGCTGGCGCTGCTCGACGCACCTGATCCGGACCTCGACCTCGTTTGATATCGAAGAGCTGGTCTGCAGGGTCATTGTTATAATCTACCGCCCTCGATTTCTTCGCTAATGCAACCTTGCATCTTTGCAAGATCCGGCGCATCGCACACTACTGGAGATTTGGGTATCGGTAGATCCGAACCCGTTGAACCTGCCACGACCGGGATTTTCCTCAAAAATCAGAGATTTTGAGAGCGTCAGAGACGTGGGGGAGCAATGCTATGGTCGATTCGGGTGTTCGTCCGCTTCGTTGCACATATGTAGCATCTCGGCAGCGTGCCCAAATGCTATTCCTGTCGGGGACTTACACGAGATGGGAGAGAGATAAGGTAGGGCTCATTCATATATAGCCACTATCACGCGCTCAGACCAGTCACGCTATGGAGACTTTTGGCGGGGGAACGGAGATGGAGCGTTACATTGGCTCACTACTCGTTTGTCCGACTACTTTTCCCAAAAATTTTCTATACAAAAGATAGATGCAGACTGTGCGCAGATATTGTATAGAAAATTTTCTTAATGTGCTTCTCTCACGCCTCGCTGTAAGGGTTCGAGGTGGTTAGATGTCCCTGATTTGGTCACGCTCGGGGCATCGACTGAATTGAGTATCACATATTCACGTGAGTGTCACTGCAATGTCACTAGTAGCTATGTATGAATGAGCCCTACCTTAGCACCATAGCAGATCAGTTTCATATCCCAGCTCTGCTACGATCGACCGCAGTGCCTCAACATACAATACGCCAAATCAAACTATCCGGATATTCTGGGGCCTGAGAGATACGCGCACGAATGATGTCGACGATCGTACACGCTCTGTCTGTGGCGTACCACTCGTGTTTTTGACCTGCTTGCTCCTGCTTACCCTGATGGACCGATATATTAGCCACTGAGGCAGACGGGAACGCCTCAGGCTTCGCCCAGTTTCACCCAGAGTCCACCCTGAAGATATTCGTCAGAAAGAGATATAAATCCGATCCAGCTATATATATAAAAACTCACATCCACATATGACTGAGACCGCGATAAACGCGGAAGCGAAGACCGTCAATATGCCGCGTCGTAACAAGCGGTTCGCGGACGGCACGCACCGTCAGATGGCTCTTGATCCAAACCTTCTCGTTCCTCTTCATGTCGTCGAACACGGGAGGAATCTTCCCGGGCGGGACGGCGGCCATGTCGAGCTCGACCGAGGAGAAGGTCTGCAGGAGGCGGACGAGCATGAACGACGCCTCGTTGTACGCGAACTGCAACACGATGAGCGTCGATCGCTCGGAATTCTCGTGTGGTGAAGAGGGAGAGGGCGTACCTGCTGCCCGAGGCAGATCCGCGGCCCGGCGTTGAAAGGGAGGAACATGAACGCTGCGAAGTTCGCCAGCTCAGGACGAGCAACAACTCTGAGGACAGGGACGAATGGCTCACGGTTCCTGCTCAATCGATGCACGCGCTCGTCGAGGAACCGATCGGGGTCGAACACGTGCGCTGTTTCAGTCGCGCGTCAGCCCGATGTACTGTATACGAGAGACATCGCGGCGTGCTACGTGCTCACCGTCCGGGCCCCAGAGGTATTCGAGCCGGTGAAGGTGCCACACGCTGTATGGCGTCGTGGTGCCGGCGGGGACGTAATACGGCCGTCCATCGGCACGTTTGGACGGCCAAAGGACGTCGGTCTTGCACTTCCGGAGGTTGAGCGGCCTGAGGAAGAAAAAGATCAGGTTCAACGAAGCCGGCGCAAGCTACACGATGCTCACACGGGAGGGAAGAGGCGGAGGGTTTCTGGAGGAAGCACATGCGAATATAAATGTTAGACAGGTGAAAAGCAAATTCGTAGGGCGCGCGGGGGGGATCGACTTGCCGTTCAGGACTGCGCGCATACTGTACGTCATCGAGATCAGAAAGCGGACGAACACGAGCATCGTGGGCGACGCACTACTTCATGTTCCGGATGTCATCGTACGTCGGCCGGCGATCCCCCACAGTGCGGACGACTTCCTCTCGGAGACGCTTCAGAACGTCCGGGTGTTCGCTGAACATGTACGACGCGAACGTGAGAAGGGTCGCCGTCTATTTTCCGGCGGAGCAATCAGCCCCTGCGCACGCTGAAGAAGACATCGGCCACTTGCCGTATCGCGTCCTGCCACCATTATGTTGATCATCTCGTCCTTCAGAATGACAGGATCTGCGACTTCGCCGTCAACGGGGGGCTCCGACTTCAGTCAAGGGAAGAGCGTCGCACCATCCGTCACTTTGACCAGGTACTCCAGCAGCGTCTCGCCCTCCGCGACCTCCAACGCCCCGGAATTCTTCGTGTCCGCCTTCTCCGCGCCCGCGCCGATCTCCGCCCTGCGCGCCTTCTCCCTCGCCAGCGCACGGGCAAGGATGGGGTCGATCACGCCCTCGATGACGCGCATGTGCTTCCGCGTCTTGTCTTCCCAGAACTCGCGAAGGGGCCACCACGTCCCGAGCGGGTTGCGCTCGAACATGATGGACTGCGCGGCGGAGAAGGCCGTGCTAAAGTCTGACGCGGAGGAGAACGAGGTGCGGGAGGAGGAAGAGGCGTAAGGAGTAGGGGACGCGCTGTGCGGATAGGGAAGGGACTCGGAGAGCGAGCGCACGTCGTACCCGAAGAGGAACTCGGTCGCGCTGTCCAGTGTGAATCGCGACTACAGGGGCATGAGGGTGGGGGTGGGGGTGTTAGCGCGAGATCGGTATGGAAGGGTGCAGTGGGAAGGGAGCACGTACGAAGAGGTCTTGAAGGTCTACCGCGTACCCTTCGCGCGCGCGCGACTTGAGGAGCCGTATGGCGTCTTGCGCGTGCCGGTCGAATACGTCGAAGTCCGATATGCGGGCGCGGACGAAGAAGGGACGCGTCATGGAGCGGTGGAATCTGGTTGATGTGATCGTAAGTCAGGGCGAGTATTCGGCAGGAAGATTGGGGGTGTACTCACTTCCAGAGTTCGTCTGCGAGCGACGATCAATGCCACGCTTGACGGACACGAAGATCGTTTGTAAGCTCACCGTCTGCGCTGAAGACTCCGGTGCCGAGCACGGTGGACACTACGGACCGGAAGACGCTGCCTTTCTCATGCTTGTCAAATTCAGTCGCCAGGATGCACTGACGCAAATCACAGTCAGCCGCTGCTATCGACAACCACGACTATGAGCGCACCTTGATGTGTTCCGGCTCGCACGTCCAGTACTGCGCGTTCAGCCAGTCTCAGTCGGGTAAGGCGGAAAGACGGCCGAAGGCTTACCCTGTTCTCCCACAGCAGCCGCAGATTGAAGATGTTCCCGTATTTCTCCTGCCATATGCAGAGCGGGCGCGCTACATACATGCCCTGATTGAGAGAGCTCGTCCGCCGTAGTCGACAGGCTATCACCCACCTAACACGCCCTTCCTCTGGTTCCGGAACACGAACATGAGCGCGTCGAGCCCTCCCGGCCACCGATGCGCCAGTCTGGGCGGGAGCACCGCGCCGAGTCTTGCCGCCTCGCGCCCGATGGCGTATTCCCTCCAGACGTTCGAGAGCGCGGCGTAGAGGGGCACGACGATCGGGAGCGAGAGCGGGACGTGCCACCACGTGAACGTGTTATCGAGGAGGACGCTCGCGCTCTTCGCGGCGGCGCATACAGCGACGAGGCGGAGGACGTATGGAATGAGGAATCGCTGGCCCGGGGTGAGCTCCATGATGGATGAGGAGGGTTACGGCGTGAAGGCCTGTGCGTCGTGCTCACATTTGTGTCCTACCCCGGCTGGTCCCTGGTGACTTTCGGACGATATCATGAGCGATCACCGTCGACCGGGAGGGTTGCCGCTTGGAAGCAGTGAGTTTTTCCCCGGCAACGATCTTCTCGCGCGCCGGGATTTTGGCCCACAACAGTTTATTCGTGATGGAGAGAGCATTTATAACGAGGCATTCCGTTTGTTGCTTTTCGTTCGGTTGATGCACGCAAACAAACCCGAACAGCAGCATGAGCAAAAGTCTCGCTCGGACTTCGAGCTTCAAGTGGCTCTCGGAACATGTCGTGGCTGTGTCCTAGCTTGCTTCTGCGGTTGTCCTCCTGCGTCTTTGCAATGCTCCCTACGGCTCTCGAGATACCCATCATGGCCAGAGGTACGAAGCATCTCATACGTACCAGATGCGCAACTCCTTCTGTGCAGCATTGCATGTATACAGAAGCGCCGAGCGCAATAATGAGATTAGATATGAATATGCATTACGATAGCGATTATGTATGGAACGAACACGCGCCCCAAGGTCGCGTATTCTTTCGTCCTTGCACCGTGGCTCCCGTGTCAAAAGGCAGAGGCAGAGAACATCCGAAAACGACCGAGGTTTCGGCCCACGTAAAGTGGTGCGCGCGGGGGATGGAGTATATATGCACGAGCGCACGAGCGAATTCGCTAAGGGGGGGACGGGACGTAAGTCCGTCATCACCCGCGCAGAACCAAAGCATAATAATGCGCGAGACGCCTCTCGATGGTCTGGTCCTTCATACGCTGGTTTTCATCGGCATCCTGCTCTTCTCCCTATTCGATGACCGGTCTATGAGCGAAACGGTGAACGAGAGATGTAGAAAGCAGCCACTCACGGCGTGCCGTTATCGATGTTGTTCCCGATCAGCTCCTCGAACCGCCTCCTGAGGTCGTCGATGACATCGTCATAATGGTCCCTTATATGCTCCCCATGATCGTCCACCCTCTGCGCACACGAAAAAAAAACATCGATCAGCCTTTCTCCCCTCCCCCGTCTCGAAAAAAAACGAAAAAAAAGAGCGGGGGACATACGCTGAGGATATAGCCCTTGTCCAACATGAGCGCCTGCACCTCCCTCACGAAATGGTCGAGATCGCGCACGCGCTGCTTGGACGTCTCGGGCTCGCCCGAGCCCCGCACGCGCGCGAGGTAGGTCGCGACGCACGTCGACGCGCCGCCGAAGACGGACACGACGACGGACGTCGTCCGGCCCGTCGTCGCCGCCGCGAGCCCGGTCGTGAGCGCGCCGAGCACGACCTGCGAGCCGATCGCGACGTTGAGCGCCATGCCCGTGAGGCGGGCTATCAATCGAACATCCGTTCAGTCGTGCATATATAGTAGAGAGGGAAGGGCGGGGGG